GTGCAATTCGCCGATGCTTGAAGCGAGCAATCCAGACCGCTGCTCGCGCAACCACCCCACCCGCCCGCCCGCAACTTGGTTTGCAAAACACATGTGGCACCGATTGCGATGAGTGCTCGGCGTTGGCTGGCGCGTCGTTGCGGCCGCACTAGCCCGCGCGCGCAGCAGCCAGCTAGTCTGGCGCGACCGACGCGGGCGAGGTGGCGCTGGCCGCTGGGGACTTCCGAGCGGGCGCCTCGGCGCGCGTCGGCGAGATTGGCGGGCGCGGGACCATGGCAACGGCGATTACGGTAGACGCGACGCTGGTGACGATGCTGATAACGACGGCGGCACCCCCAGCGACGGCGCCGATGCTCATCGCGCCGACGACGGCGACGGCGCCCCAGCGTCGGCGATGGAGGTTTCTGGAATGAGCTCGACATGCGCGCGCGGCCGACGCGGGAGAGCGACCCGCATGGTATCCTTCGAAGCGGATCGCCCCCCCCCCCCCCCCCCCAGCCCGCGCGCAAGGGCGCTCGATTGACTTCGACATGCGGCGCGAGAGGCCCGTTCGGCAGAATGGAATCAACATGCTTAAGAAAACCGAATACTTTCTCAAGGAGTCGCCAAACTGACATTGCAAAACCATGTGTTGTTTTACCTGCTTTCGGGACACCCGATTTTGAAACCCATTCGAAACCAAAGTTTTTGATGAATTTCGGCTGCTCGCGCGACGACGCCCGCATGTGTTGAGCCCGTGTTCAGCCACTGGTCTGGACGTCCACCCCAGTGGCTGAGACAGGCGCATCCATGGAGAAGCGCCCACAATGGTCGACAAGTCGGCCCCAAGACTACGTTCGCTAAGGCGGAAAAAACCGTCGATTCAGCTCCAACAGTTCGTTCGCCACGACGAGAGGAGCCGCCAACTCGGCCCCAACGCTTTGTTCGCCAAGATCGATCGTTTTTAACCATAAGCTCGGCCCCGGCGCCTTGTTCGTCAAGACAAAGGGGACAGCGAAGGGGGGCGTCAAGGGGGTTCATCAACTCGAAGGGCGGCCGTCAAAGGGGTTCGTCAAGCTGGAGGGAGGCCGTCAAGGGGGTTCGCCAAGGGGGTTCGTCAAGCCAGAAAGAGGCCGTCAAGGGCGTTCGTCAACCCGGAGAGCGGCCGTCAAGGGTTTTCGTCAACTCGAAAGAAAGCCGTCAAATGGGGTTCGCCAGCTCGGAGCTGACGGCCAAATCTTTTCACTTAGATGGAGTTGACGGCCAGATCCTGTCATTCACATGCAGTCGGCGGCGCAAACGCCGGGTGGGGTATACCTGGTCATTCGTCGTGGCGTCCAGGGTCACTTCCACCCCTGCCGCCCGCGACAGACGCAACGCGTGTGCACTTCGTCCAATATATTGCAAGGGTTTTTTGCGACAGCGCGTGCGCAAGGGCGGTCGCACGATTTCGACACACGCGCGGGAGATGCCCGTCTGGTAGCATGTGATGAACATGTTGCAAAACGCTGGGTTTTCAGAACAATGTGCAAGAGCGCGAGCTCCAGTTTGTTTTGAATATCATCATTGCGAAACCATGTGCTTCTATATGTTTTGTCAGGGTATTCGACTTTGACATCCTTACGAAACCGAGGGTTCCCGAAAGCCTTCGGCATGCGCGGGCGACGACGCGCGCGGTTGCATATTGTTTCGTTTTTGTCCCAAGGATTTCTTGTATACTGATGACTCTTGATAAACGGGTGTGCGCGCATAGTTGTTTGCAGAGGATGGAGGGGGGAACCGTTACTGGTTTAGCTGGGATGCTATGAAGTCATACTTGGGATGGGCGATGGGGCAAGATCCTGTCCAAGTTGCAAAACGAAAAATGTCCAGACTGGCGGCTTCGAGGAGGCGGGGCGGCGACGGCGACGACAGAGCCGCCTGAGAGGCACACCGGCCCAGAGGACGGGCGGCGACAAGGCGGCGACGGATATCACATCGCCGCCACAGCGAAGTGGCGACGGGGCGGCAAGCGCGACTGCACTGCCGCCCGAGCTGCACACCGGCACACTGTCTGGTTCCTGATTCTACAAGTAGGACCCCCTAATCGCAAACACGGTTGGCGGCGCGCGCAAGGGGGTGGAGAGGGGGGGGATAGCTTCTTAGAAGGAGCCTACTTCTTACAAGGCAGCGGCCTTGCATCTACAGACAAGGCCCGCGCCTGCCAAGAAGCATGGGTGCTTCTAACAAGCTTTCCCCCCTCCCCCTACTGCGTCTAAGAAGCCTCCCCAACGTCCCCCTACCCGCCCTCTGCAAATGCCCGACGCTGTTTCGGGGGAGAACACCACCGGAACCCTCTAGCGAAATGCTACTACGGAAAAGCCACGTGATCGTTTTTTAATTCATTGTTTTGCCGATCGGCGTGGGCCCTCGCACCCAGCCGCTTCCCATGGAGTGGACCTTGGCTGTTTTTGGCCCCTGCTTCGACCAGGCGGAGTCTCCCTCATAATGGACGCCCTGTTGCAAACAGTCGCATCAAGCAGAAGTCCAGAGCGAGACCCCCCCGTTCGCACAATAACGCCGAATGTGAAGCAGAAAAACACACACAGGTGAACAACACACACACACACACAGCGGTGAGCGTTGTTGTCCACAACACAATGCGCGCGCGTGTGTGTGTCTGTGTGTGTGTTAGTGTGTGTGTGTGTGTGTTAGTGTGTGTGTGTGATTGTGTGTGTGATTGTGTGTGTGTTAGTGTGTGTGTGTGTGTGTTAGTGTGTGTGTGTTAGTGTGTGTGTGTTAGTGTGTGTGTGTGTGTTAGTGTGTGTGTGTTAGTGTGTGTGTGTTAGTGTGTGTGTGTTAGTGTGTGTGTGTGTGTTAGTGTGTGTGTGTTAGTGTGTGTGTGTGTGTGTTAGTGTGTGTGTTAGTGTGTGTGTGTGTGTGTGTGTGTGTGTATGTGTTAGTGTGTGTGTGTGCGTGCGTGCGTGCGTGTGTGTGTGTGTGTGTGTGTTAGTGTGTGTGTGTGTGATTGTGTCTGTGTGCTTCCCACTGGCTGTTTTGTTTATCACGTTCCCCCGAGAACCCTCCACATGTCGTCCGAGGTCTGCCGACCTCGGGGGGCGGACGGGCTCGGCCTCGCGCAAGGGGCGGCCCCGGGCACGTGCCCCTCGCGGCGCACGCGCTGCCACGACAGCAGCGGCCCTGGCGTGCCCAGGCCCGGCCCCCCGTCGCAACCGCCGCGCCGCCGCCGCCCCACCCGCAAAGCTGCGCGCCAGAGGCCACCCGCCCCTGCGCAGGGCCCCGCTGCCCTGAGACCGAGACGTCGCGAACAAAGGACTGCGACATCGTCAGAAAACACACATCGCCAGGTCCCTGCTGCGGAGGGCCACGCTGCCCTGAGATCGAGACGTCGCGAACAAAGAACTGCGACACCGTCAGAAAACACACATCGCCAGGTCACTCCTGCGGAGGGCCACTCTGCCCTGAGATCGAGACGCCACGAACAAAGAAATGCGACACCGTCAAAAAAACACATCGCCAGGTCCCCGCTGCGGAGGGCCACGCTGCCCTGAGATCGAGACGTCGCGAACAAAGAACTGCGACACCGTCAAAAAAAGCACATCGCCAGGTGCCTCCTGCGAAGGGCCACTCTGCCCTGAGACCGAGACACCGCGAAAAAGAAATGCGACACCATCAGAAAACACCGCCAGGTCCCTCCTGCGAAGGGCCACTCTGCTCTGAGATCGAGACGCCGCGAAAAAATGCAACATCGTCAAACAAACACGACCAGAACCCTAGACCCTACCTTTCTGCGGCGTTCTTCGAGCCAGACGGATCTGTGATGGCCCCGGGGCCCGAGACCCTGCGAAAACGCGCGGAGGAGGAGGAGGAGGAGGAGGAGGAGGAGGAGGAGGAGGAGGAGGAGGAGGAGGAGGAGGAGGAGGAGGAGGAGGAGGAGGAGGAGGGAGGAGGGAGGAGGAGGAGGAGGAGGAGGAGGAGGAGGAGGAGGAGGAGGAGGAGGAGGAGGAGGAGGAGGAGGAAGAGGATGATGAGGAGGGTGCACTGTCTCGGTCCTTTCATCACGGGGTCCCCGAAGCCCCGACCCTTTCTCCAGGGTTGGTTCTCATCCCGAGCCGTGTTTTGACGGTCCCGGGGCCTGGCGAGGGCCCCCGGGGGCAGACAACTGCCAAAAACCTTCCGTCGTGTTCTTGTTTGTACGACGCGAGCACGTCTGGTCGTGCAGCCGACGTGGCGATTGGGCGTTACTTGCTGGGGGGGGGGGGACGATGCATGGGAGAGGAAGAGAGGGCCCCGTTTCGGGCCCCAGAGGCCCCCTCTCTTGGGCCCTGAAGAGCCGCTTCGGGGGCCCGAACAAGGGGGCCCCTTGAGCCCTCGCTGACCCCCCCCGACTCGTCGCTCCCCCACTACGGTGGAGGTCTTAGATGAGGATGCCTTCGGTAAGGAACCCAGGATCTCGCGACAGATGGGCGGCCCAACGTCGGTCACCCACCTCACCTTGAGAGACAAGAAGGGATGCGCCAGAGTCTGGGCCCCAGGAACACGCTCCCTGTCCAATCGGGGATCTTCTCACCCGGGTCAATCCAGACCCGGGTCAGCAGGAAACCAAAAACTGCAATGCAGGAAAAAAACTGCAACGCAGGTCTTCGCAGACCCGGGTCAGCCAATACGTGCGGCCGCCTCGCGGCCACGAACGGCTCGCTAACCCGGGTCAGCCAAAGGGGGTCTTCGCAGGATCCCGCAGGATCTGGTGCCGTGGCTGACCCCCGTTTGCATTGACCCCCGTCTCAAGGCTCCCGACGACGACGACGACGACGACGACGACGACGACGACGACGACGGCGACGACGACGACGACGACGACGACGGCGACGACGACGACGACGACGACGACGACGGAACGACGACGACGACGACGACGACGACGGCGACGACGACGACGACGACGCCGCCCTAACGCGCCCTCCAGGACGACGGGCAGGACGGCCGCGCCGCGGCAGGGGGGTGCGGCCGTGCCGCGCCGCCTCGCCCTCCGCGCCCGCGGGTCGCGGGACGACTGCCCGTCCTGCCGGGCGGCCGGCCCGGGCGGGCGGAGGGCGGACGACGGAGGCGCCGGAGCGGATCGAACACTGACGTTACGCAGGTCGGGCATGTCCTCCTACAGGCGGAAACTGGACGACAAAGTAAGAAAATATTCAAAGATTACCCAAAAGGTGTCAAAAAAAAACCATGACTAGTCCCCTGGCTGATATTTGTCTATTTTTGACAATTGCCCGACGGAGCGGGGAACAGCAAGCTGCACAAGCACAAACTTTCGAAGCTCCGCGCGGATGCCTTGGAGCAGCGCTGGGCCCCCCTCGCCAAGCCGCGCGGAGCTTGCCAGGGGGCGGCGCCGGGGGCGCCGCCGTGGGGGGTTCCGAGCGCCGATGCAAAAAGTCCGCGCGGACGACGGGGGCACGATGGGCAGGCTTAAGTCGGACGTGTCCCCCATACAAAAGGATTTTCAACGAAAAAGAAGGAATACAACAAACAAACCCCAAAATGGTCAAAAAATGCTCAAAAAATAATCCCCTGACTATGTTTTGACTATTTTTGCATATTCGCCCTGTAGAGGGACAGGCCAGACGTAAGGGTAGGCCGGCACCTTCGGAATCCCTGCGAAATGCGCACCCTGGGGCCTTGCCCGAGGCGCATGCGAAGTGAACCGCCCATGAGAGGTCCTTGCTGAGACTTGCTCTGCGCCGGTTGGTCCTCTTCGGCGGTGGACAAGCCTCCCTTTAGTAAAGGAGGTGCGGCAGCCGTGTGGCACGGAAGCGAGGAGGAGGAGGAGGAGCGAGGAGCAGAGGAGGAGGAGCGAGGAAGGAGCGAGGAGGAGGAAGCGAGGCACGGAAGCGAGGAGGAGCGAGGAGGAGCAGAGAAGGAGGAAGCAGAGAGGAGGTGGAGGAGGAGGAGGAGGAGGAGGAGGAGGAGGAGGAGGAGCGAGGAGGAGCGAGGAGGAGCGAGGAGGAGGAGGAAGCAGAGAAGGAGGAGCGTGTGGCACGGAAGCGAGGAGGAGCGAGGAGGAGCGAGGAGGAGGAAGGAGGGGCGAGGAGGAGCGAGGAGCAGAGGCCCAGTCTCTTGTAGGTGTGCGCGCGGTCGGCCCAAAGTGGCCCCGCGTCTGGCCCCGCCGCGCGCGGTCGCTCGCTCCGACTGCTCGGCTTGCGCCGCCGTCGAAGCGCGCGAGGCCGCGACCGCACAAAGGATGTATATATATATATATATATATGTGGATGTATGTACAGGCATGTGTATGTGCATGCAATTGTGCGCGTGTGTGTGTGTGTGTGTGTGTGTTTGTGCATGCTTGTTTTTTTCCATCGCTTGTGTTTCCTCCCTCCCCCTGGGCACGCAGACCGCGAGCCGGCGCAACGACAGACAAACGGCCGCCGCGGAGCGCGGGCCGCCCTGGCCGCCCCGTCCTCGTCGGTGCCGCGCGCACCGCCTCGCTGCCGCCGCGGGCGCTCCACACGGGGAGGGGGAAAGATCCGCCCTGCGCCTCGATGCTCTCTCGCTCTCTCTCAGGACTCCGGGCTGCGGACCGATGCCTCCCCTCGGAAAGAAGCCCTCGTCCTCCCTCCCCCTCCTCCTCCTTCTCTTCTGCTCCTCCTCCTCCTCCTCCTCCTCCTCCTCCTCCTCCTCCTCCTCCTCCTCCTCCCCCTCCTCCTTTCCTGCTGCTCATGATCCTCCTCCTGCTCCCCTCCTGCTGCTCCTCCTCCTCTACATCAGCGGGGTCACCTTCAATAGCGATGTGAGCTAGCAGTATACTTATCCTTCCCCCGTTGCCGTTGCCGATCGGCCCCGCGTTACTTGTGCCGCCAGTTCCGCCGGGTCCGAGCAGGATAGCGTGGCCGAGCACGATTCCGTCGGCGTTGCCACCTGGTCAATTTGGCATCCAACCTCCTGCTGGCCCAGACCGTGTTGGACAGGGGGCCAGGTACAGCCCGACCAGCAGGAGCGTCGCGTTCACCCTAAGACTTGACAGGCCAGGCTTGCGCGTCGGGCTCAGAGCCTACTTGTGGGCCTTGCAAAGTACACAGACCTCGCCTGCCCCAGTGGGACTCCCCCAATCACGCTCAACTCAGCGATCCCTCGGCGATTTTGCAAAGCGTCTTCGTAGAAATGCGGATGGTGAGACTCAATTTCGTAGGGATGGAGACGCGTCTTCTTTCCTTTCCCATGCGGTGGTGCAGGGCCTTCTGGTCTAGCCCTTTGCTTCTCTCAGAGTCACTTGCTGGCTCGTTTAGTTTGTTAAGACTTATTTAGTGTGCCACGTGCTCCTCCCACGTCATTTGCGGTTCGAATGGCGCACGTGACTGAGGATCTCTGCTGGCAAGGTCGACATGTGCTGCGCTGGCGCTGCTATGTGATGGCGGGCTCACTTTTCCTTGCCCTGGAGCTGGCGCTCTAAAGTTCGCTCCAGCTCTGTCTTGGGTCCTGGCCCACGCACCATCCGTTCAGACGATGGATCATGTGTCCCATGGCCTGCTTGATCTCTCACTCCTCTCCTTTGAGCTCCGCTTTCTTCGTGGCCACTTGTGCACACGGCATGGGGCTGACGATGTAGATAAGTTTCCCATTGCTGTTCCCGTCGTCCTCCTGCTCATTGGGTGTGTCTGCCTTCACTGCCGTGCACATCTAGACCGTCCCAATAACGAAATCCAACCAATTGTCTAGCAACGCCGTGTGGTGCCACATCTCGAAAATGTCCTTGCACCAGCTCTAGGTCCTGTCCAATATGTCCTCTCCCTTGAGGTTCTTCTCCAAGCACTGTAGGCACGCCACCACAATCGCCAACATGATGTGTGCGCGTGGAGGACCGAGCTGTTGTCCTTTGTCTTTCCGTCGTTCCTGACCTGTGCGGCGCAGCTCCTGTCGGCTAGGACAGCTCCCTGAAGTCAGAATGTCAACGCTAGAGTACTGTGCTTGCCGCCATCAAGTTTCTCAACCCCTGTGCGCTCCGAAGTGAAAGGCATTGAAGGCCGCCGACGCGCTGAATGTGGTCCGAATGTCCGTCTCATCCTCGTCGATCTTCCCCCCCCACCCCACCCCACCCCAACATTCGGGAGGGGGGCCTCCACTTCCCGAAGACGGAACCGCTCCTAGGTTGTTTCCTCCTCTTCCCTTTGTATTGCCTTCCATCTCCGCTGACGCGCCCAGGATTTGTCATGTTTGTCTCCTCCATCTGGTTCCGCTCCAGGTCCGTCGACGCTTCGAATTTCCCCAGACTGCTCCACTCCCCAGTGCTGGCGTTTCGACCCGAGCTGCTGCTCGACGGTCCGAAACCGGCCTCTCGATGCCAAAAGAATGACAAACTCGCGGCCTCGATGTCTGCAAGGCGACGAGTCTGGGTTCCTCTACCCGAGACCAGCTTTTAATCCTGAGTCGAATTTGACTGTCACCAGGGCCAGTGGAGGGCCACCAGGAGGCTGACAACTGCGAAAGACGGTTCGCTCAAAACTCCTTCCCTTCTTCGGTAGGTTTTCAACAAGACAAACAAGGGGCTTCTTAGAAGACCTTCCTGGCTGCCACAAGGCCTTCTCAGGAACTTTCCCGCCATTCTGAGAAAACTTTTGTTATTTGAAACACTCCCGGCCTTCTTAGATGGCCGCCCCCCTCACCCCACGCGCCGCCGAACGGGGTAAGGGACCTCCGGACCTCTCGATCCCTTCCCAGGTCCCGCGGCTCGGAGCCAGTCATGGCAAACTGTTCGGCTCGATTCTGCCGAAGCGCCGAACTGTCTTGCTTTCAAGCCATACCTCGGGTCCCTGACGGCCGTCCAGGACGACTCGGGTACCCCTGGGCCGCCCCCGACGAGGCGAAGCTGCTGGAAAGGGAAGCGTCCCGACTGGAAAATCTCAGGGGTCTTACGAAACCCGCTGGCAGCTTCGAATCTCAAGCGACACCTGCTGCTGGACGTCTAGGTTCTATCATTGGCGGATCGATGGGGTCGGTCCCCCGACATCCGGCATTGGATAAGGAATCCAGGGTCTGGAGGCCTGTGGAACTCCAATCGAGGCTTGGCCATGGATATCACCGCCGCCCTCATCAGATGAGGAATCCTCCAGGGTCTGAGGCCTCCTGGGCGCATTCCTTAACAAAAACGCCCCCACCGTAGCTTCCTCGCCCAGCATGAGAGCGAGAGCGAGGAAGAACGCCCAGGCTGTCAAAGGACATGGCCCCAGGATCGGCAAGCCCAGAGCGGCGACAGCCTTAGGGAGGTGCCCTCGGAAGCTGCGGGGAATCCTTAAGGTCGGCACCGAGGCGAGGCCGAACGTAGGGACCGGGATCTGTCTCAAACCGGTGGACGTCGTCGGAGGTCTGGGTCGTCAGCGTCGCCGGTGCCGGGGCGGGAGATCTCGCCAGGGGCGGTTGGCGCCCCCCGGGAGCGCGCCGCCTGAGACAGGTTGCTCTGCGCAGGCGGTGCTGTCGCTCCAGCCTTCCGGAGGGGAGTGGGCTTCACCACCAGCATCGGCACCAACAGATCAACATCTCGCCATCGCTCGGACGTCCATTTCCTGTGCAGTTTTCGGTTTGGTGCGTGTTTTTTTGCTCGATGGTCCAGGATGGTACTCGATGGATCTCGCCGTGAAAAAATGCACACGTCCGAGCGATGCCAAGTCATCGCTACTACCACCCTCGCCGTCGCCGTCGCCGTCGCGTCGACCACCAGCAGCTGGAGCGCCTCGGATCGGTGGCACCGGCTAGCACCACTACCGCGCCCACCGTCATCATCTACAACTGTCACCAAAATGAGCACCGTCACTGCTGTCTTCCTCCTCCTCATCGCCATCGTCGTCGACAGCATCGTCAGCATCGTCGTCATCATCAACATCACCATCACATCACCATGACAATGGCCATGGCCATGACCATACTATTCATCATCAACATCAACATCAGCATCAACATCAACATCAACATCAACATCATCATCATCATCATCAGCATCATCATCATCATCATAATCATCATAATCATCATCATCATCATCATCATCATCATCGTCATCATCATCATCATCATCATCATCATGATCATAATCATCATCATCATCATCAGCATCAGCATCAGCATCATCATCATCATCATCATCATCGGCACCATCGGTACCATAGGCATCATCGTCGCCATCGTCAGACAAATTAGTATCATCAGCAGAAGCGTAATCATCATTAGCACAACCATCATCAACATCAACATTACCATCACTCTTACCATCATGAGCATCATCAACAGTATCGTCATCATCGCCTCCATCATCGTCGCCATCGCCACTACCATCATCCACACCTACCCACCAGCATCATCACCGCCATCACCACCGCCAGTATGTTCGTGGTCCTCTCCATCATCAACACAATCACAATTACCATGTGCATCCTCACCATCGTCACCATCGTCAACATCATCACCATTACCATTATCATGATCAGTACCGTTACCATTTTGCATCATCACCATCACCATCACAACTACCATCATCGCCACTATCCCATCCCCACTAATATCATTGACTTCGTCACCACCACCAGAATATACATCGCCCTCACCATCATCAACATCGTCATCACCACACCCTTCGTCGTCATTATCGTCACCATCGTCATCGTCATCACCCGCACCCCCCATCCTCACACCCCAGACTGCCTCCCGTGAAGAATGAACCACGGATTATGTTTGACCGGAGCCGCCTCTGGAGGCTGTTTCGTGGCTGTCGTTGGTAATCATTGTGATGGCTTTGGTCGTTTCATCACATCGCGAACCGTCGGATGCCTACGCCCCTTTCCCAGGACCAGCGTTTCATGCTGAGTGGCCTTTTGATTTCTCCAGGGCAAGGACAATATCAACATCACCATCAACACCAATGTCATCAGTGACCCTCATAAGAGTCCAGCTGCAGTTGCTTCTCCCTCCTCCCGCTCCAGCACCGACTCCTCCTCCATCTCTTCCTCCTCCCGCTAAGTACCTCTCTTGTGGCCCCGGCTCCAGGCCCCGGCTTCCCTTTTGTCGCGGGGTGCCGGATCCCGGTTGTATATCGTGCCTCCCCTCGCCTCTTCGGCGGAATCATTCGATCGGCGCGCTCTCCTCCAACTGAATTCTGACCCCCTCTGCCTCATCGACCTGCCCTTACCTGGTAGACCTCCCAAGAACCCACCCAAGCCCTCCAAGAGCTCCCTGATACACGTCAGAAAAGATTCCCCGAAGCCATCCTTCGAATCCTGGTCATCCCCTTCCTCCCCCGATCCTCCTCCTCGATCCCACTCGAACCACATTCTCCATCCTTCTCCTCAGCCCGCTCATCCTCCTGCTCCGACTCCTCTCTCCTTTCCTCCTCCCTCTCCTCTGTCCCGTTCACCTCCTCCTCCTCCTCCTTCGGCTCCTGCTCCTGCTCCCTGCCCCTCCTCCTCCTCCTCCTTCTCCTGCTCCTCCTCCTTCTCCTCCTCCCTGTCACTCCCTGCTCATTCACCCCGTCCTCCTGCTCCTATACTCCCTCCTCCCTCTCCGAACAATTGCCAGGAACTCTTCTCATCCCCTTCCTTCGCCCCCCCCCGTGTTCATCCTCATCCTCCTTCTCTTTCACTTCATCGTTCCTCCCCCGCGTCCTCCTCCTCCTCCTCCTCCTCCTCCTCCTCCTCCTCCTGCGCCTCCTGCGCCTCCTCCTCCCTCCCCCGTGCTCCTGTCCGCTCTGCGCCGCCCAGATCCCCCGAGCGCTGACCAGAGAGAACCCCGCGAGGGAGCTCGCCCGGACCTCCCTGCCGTTCTCCCCGCTCCTCTCCCATCCCAGATGGTCTGGTACCGGAAATTTTCGGTAGCGATTTCGACGCACCCCGAATTTCGGTAGCAACCGGATCTTCGTTTGAGGGCGTTGAAATAGCGGATTTCGGAACGTTCTGATACCGGTATTGGGCGCTGCATCTCGGTATTTCGGTAGCGACCGATCTCTGCGGAGCGGTACCGGAAATTTTCGGTAGCGGACCATCAGGGATGTGCTCGTGCCCGCACGGCGGTGGCGCGAGGGGGGGGGGGGCGGAATCCTTAGGATGCCCAGGAGGCATCAAAGAAGGTTTCTGGAAGGCCGGGCTGGCTTCTAAGAGGCCCCCCTGCATGAGCATCGCTTAGTTATGAAGGGGCCCCAGGACACACAAATAAATACACGCAAATAAACAGATTCCCCATATTTTATCATATTTTCTTTGTTTTTGTCTTCCCCCCCACTTCCCATATTTTCCTATATTTCCCTGGGAGTCGACGATGAATTGTGTCAGTGTGTTTCCGCCTCCTGAAGTTAAACGATCCCTATCCCCACTCGCGTGGCCTTGGCCCCACTGGCCGGTTTGGCCCCCCAGATGGGGATATAGGCAGTTTCTGTCAGATTTCGAGGGGTATGTCCCCAACTGGGGGGATGAGATGGCGGAGGTCTGGATGGGGATGGGAATGGGGATGGGGATCGGTGAAACGACACCGAATCAGAGAAGGCATCTAGAAAGCCGGGCTGGCTTCCAAGAAGCCCCCCGGCAGCCCCGCCGTCTTCCTGGAAGCCCGCTCCTCTCTCTCGCGCCAACCGCTGGTGGGCGCAGCCGGCCCCGAGCCTCCCCATGCCCAGCCCTCGTCCGCATAAGGCTGCACGCCTCACCTCCTCAGCTTCGTGACGTAGGCCCCGAGAGAGCGTAATCCACCGCCGCTCTGCTGTGGACAATTCCCCCCCTCTTCCTCCGGAGCCCGGAGGTCCCCCCCCCCCCATCCGAAAATCCCCCCTCTCCTGCTGGCACCCCCCCCCTCTCCCCGGCAAACCCCCCACCCTCCCCTCCCCCCCCCCCACACCTCCGCAAAACCGGGGGGGGGGGGGTCACTACGGGTTCGAACCCCTCCCCCCCCGCCCCTCCAGAAAACTGGGGGGGGTCACTACCGGTTCGGACCTCCCTCCCCCCCCCTCCAGAAAACCGGGGGGGGTCACTACCGGTTCGACCCCCCCCCCCCACACTCACCGACGACAAACGACTTCTGGTTCCCTACCACCGTCCGCACCACATCCCCCACTGCTGTCCCCAGCACCACTGTCCTCACCACCACTGTCCCCACTGTTCCCACCACCGTCCCCACTGTCCCCACCAGTGCCCCCACCACTGCCGCACTGTCTCCACTGTCCCCACCACTGTTCCCACCACGGTCCCACTCTCCCCACTTTCCCCATGGTCCCAACCACTGTCCCACTGTCCCCACTGTCCCCGCCGCTGTCCCGCTGAGCTGTCCCACTGTTCCCACCACTGTCCCCACTGTCCCCACCACTGTCCCCATTGCACCTTTGTCCCATTGTCCCACCACCGTCCTCGCCACCGCCCTCACCACTGTCCCCACCACCACTGTCCCCACCACTGTCCCACTATCCCCACCACATTCCCACTGTCCCGACACCACTGTCCCCACCACCACCGTCTCCACCACTGTTTCACAGTCCCACCACTGTCCTCTGTCCCCACAGTTCCCACCATTGTCCCCGCTGTCCCCACCAGTGCCCCCACCAGTGTTCTACTGTCCCCCCTCTCCCCACCACTGTGTCCCCCCGCTCTCCCCACTTGCCCCACGGTCCCCACCACTATCCCAGTGTCCCCATGGTACCCACCATTGTCCCCACTGCCCCCGCCACTCCCCACTGTACTACTGTCCCACCACCGTCCTCACCACCGCCTTCACCACTGCCCCCACTACCACCGTCCCCACCACTGCCCCACTGTCCCCACCACTGTCCCGCTGTCCCCACACCTCTGTCCCTACCACCACCGTCCTCACGACTGTCCGCACCACTGTCCCACTGTCCCCGCAGCACTGTCCCCACCACCACCGTTCCCACCACTATCCCAATATCCCCACCACTGTCCAACTGTCCCGAGGAGCGGGGATCGTACGAGGGCGTAGAGGCTCCCAAGATCGCCCCCCAGACGGTCCAACATGCCTCCAACATGGCCTCACAACGACCCTCGAGGGCCCCAAGACGGCCCAAGAGGCGCCCATGCGGCCCACGAGGCCTCAAAAACAGCTCCAAGAGGGGGGGCCTCGAGCGGACATGTCGAGCCCTCGACCCCGAGGGACCCCCAAAAGGTCCCAAGAGGCCCCAAGGGGGCCCCCAAGAGGCCCTCAATAGGCCCACAAGAGACCCCAAGAGACCCCCAAGAGGCCCCAAAGAGACTCCCAAATCGGCTCCTTAACTTCTGCCAAGAGGCCCCAAAGAGCGCTCCAAAGAGACTCCAAGAAGCATCCCTGAGAACTCTGACCCATAACCCACGCACTGTGGCGGGATGGGCCGAAAGCCATTGGATCCGCCGCCCCCTTTTGATGTATCAAAGGGGTGCCTGGCGTGTCGAACTATATGGGTTTTGGTTTTGGTTCTTTTCCAAAAAGAACTCCCCCTGGGGCTTCGGCCCGTCCCGCCGGCCACCCGGAAAATCCCCAAAATGCATCCGTCATGCCTCTGTTTCCTCCACTTGGCCCAAGATGGCGTCCAAGACGGCCAAGGCGGCCCAGGATGGTCTCTAAGACGTCTCCAAGACGGCCCAAGATGACCTCCAAGATGGCTAAGATGGACCCAAGATGCCTCCAAGGCGGCCCAAGATGGCCTCAAGATGGTCTTGGTCTACGACGGCCCAACAGGCCCGCAAGAGGCCTCCAAGACGGCCCAAGAGCCCTCCAAGACGTCCTCCAGGAAGGCCCGAAAGGGCCAAAATCATGTAGTTTCCTTAGGATTTTGAAAGATTTTGGCATTTGCGCCTTTCGGCTTTCCGACGGCCCAAGACGGCCCGAGCGGCCGCCAAGAGCGCCCAAGAGGCCCCCAAAGGGCCCCATGACGGCCCAAGTGGCCTCCAAGACGGCCCCAAGAGGGCCCCAAGACGGCCCAAGAGGCCTCCAACACGCCCAAGATGACCTCCAAGACTCCCAAGATGGCCTCCAAGACGGCCCCGAAGCGCCCCAACAGGGCCCCAAGTCGGCGCAGAAAGACCCCCAAGACGGCTCCCGACGGCGTCAGACGCGTCAGGAACTCACCAAGATGGCCGAAGTTGGCTCGAAGCTGGCCCAAGACGGCCCAAGAGGCCCCCAAGAGGGCCCCCAGGAAGGCCAGAAGAGGCCCAACACATTGATGTTCCCTCAGTTTTTGACGGATTTTGACATTTGCTTCTTTTCAGCCTTCCGACGGCCCGCGACGGCCCAAGAGCCCCCAAAGATCGCCGAAAGATCGCCCAAGAGGCCTCCAAGATGGCCCCAGACCGGCCCAAGAGGGCCCCAAGACGGTCCCAAGAGGCCCCCAAGACGGCACAGGAGGCCTTTCAGACGCCCAAGATGGGCCTCCAAGACGGCCCTGGAGCATTCCAAGAGGGCCCCAAGTCGGCCCATAGAGGCCCCCCAAATGGCTTCCGACGGCGTCAGACGGACCAGGAGCCCACCAAGACGGCCGAAGATGGCCCTAAGATGGCCCAAGAGGCCTCCAAGAGGGCCTCCAGGAAGGCCCGAAAAGGCCAACATCACTGATTTCCAATGAGTTTTTGAAGGATTGTGGCATTTGCTTTTTTTCTGTTTTCCGACGGCCCGAGACGGCCCAAGTGCCCCCAAAGATCGCCCAAGACGGCCCCAAGAGGCCTCCAAGATGGCCCAAGAGGTCTCCAAGATGCTCAAGATGGCCTCGAAGACGACCCAAGAGCCCTCCAAGACGTCCTCCAAGAAGGCCCGACAAGGGTCAAAATGGCCTCCAGACGGCCAAGATGACCTTCAAGATGCCCACGTGTTCCCCGAAAGCTTTCCGAACCGATTCGGGGAACACATGGTCCGATAGCTTGGCAGGTCTGGCCTCAACGTTCGGCCACATAGGCGCTTCCAACAGGGCAGGGGGCGGGGGTGATAGACGCAGGCGTCTGCGAGAATTGTTTTGCATGTTTTGTGGATTTTCGCCTTCCATCGTTCCCCCTATGTCGACCCATATGTTCAATTCGACCCATGTCTAACATGTTCCCATATATGTCCCCGGAAATCGACGATCGTGTGTGTCTGTGTGTGTGTGTGTGTCTGTGTGTGTGTGCTCTCTTCCCTCCCGAGACTTTCCCGCCACGGGCGGAGAATTACTAAGGGCCCCATCCCTCCGGCCTCTCGGCGGAGAGAGGGGGGGCGCTCTGCCCCGGGGGGAGCCGGAGCCGGAGTGGACGGGACCAGCCAGCTCAGGGGGGGGGGGGGGGAACATCGGCCTGAGATCGACGACGCCTTGCTGCTGGACTCCCCCGGCACCAGATCCGCACGCTTCCGGGCGGGGCGGGGCCACCGGGCCCCACATCGGCGATGGATGGGCGGTCGGGGGTCGCTGCGTCCGCCCCTGGACAGGTCCCCCCCCTGCCTAAATAGGACCACCCTTCGTGTGATAAGGAGGTTGGGGGGGAGGGCACGAAAACGAAACCGATCCCCATCCCCAGCGACGTGGCCTGGGACCCGCTGGCCGATGTACCCCCCTAGGTGGGGATATTGGTCGTTCTCTTCGGGTTTCGAGGGGTGCATCCCCAACTGGGGTGTTAATTTGGTGGGCGTCTCGAGGGGGATGGAGATGGGGATGGGGATCGGTGAAACGATGCCGAGGCGGGAGGCTCTCCCTTCCAGTGCGCCCTCACCCCCCCAAAACCTCCAACGGTCGGGAACCTTTGGATGGCGTGTCGCGGCGGCGTGCCCGGCGGCACGCTGCGCCCGGCGCGCTGATGGCGTGTCGCTCCGCTCCGCGGGGTGGGAGGCCGGGAGAGGCTGAGGGCGCGAGCGTCAACGCTTCGGGGCTGGGACGCGGTCAGCGTGTCGGCTCGGAGCGTAGTGGGCCAGAAGCGTAGCGGCGCGACACGCTGAGCAGGCGTTCCTGACTGTACAGCTGCCCCTGACCACCCCTGACTTCACGATGTTGTCACAACGTGGACCCCCAGAGGTCTCGACCCAGTCCGTGGGACCAGATTTCCGTCCAGAGTCCTTTTTGTCGCTCCCAGAGCACCGGCTAGGGCACCAAGAGCACGACAATGGCAAAACACACCTCGTCGTGTTCTTTGGCACGGCGCGGGGGGTCGGGGGGATCGGGGAGGGAGATGAGGGGACGTCCTTTCCCCTCTGGCGGGGCGGCCAACAAAACCCTGGAGGTTTCCGGGCGGCCAATCGGCACGATTCGGGCACACCAGAACGCCCTCGGCTAGGTGCAGCTGCTGCTGCGCGTCCACTGGCAGGAGAACCTCCAGGAACCGACGAGGACCGTATCTCGACCTGCTCTCGGCGGCACCGAGAGGGAGCCCCAGGCCCCCGAGGGAGAAGAGGAGGAGGAGGAGGAGGAAGAGGACGTGAGGAGGGAGGAGGAGGAGGAGGAGGAGGAGGAGGAGGAGGAGGAGGAGGAGGAGGAGGAGGAGGAGGAGGAGGAGGAGGAGAGTAGGCGCCATTCCCCCGCCCGGTGGGGCGGCCGGCGGAGGAGGCGCTCTTCCCCAAGACGAGCGGCGCGGGCTCGTGGCTGCGCGCCACCAGGCCCTGGCCAGGAGCCCAGGGCCCTCACCCTTTCGTCCTCGTCCTCGTCCTCGTCCCCCTCCTCCTCCTCCTCCTGCTGCTCCTCCTCCACCTCATCCTTTCCTCTCCTGCATCTCCACCTTCTTATCCTCTTTGTCTGCGCGTCCTCCTCCGCGGTTCTCCTCCTGCTGCTGCTGCTGCTCCTTCTCCTCCTCCACCTCCTCCCCTGGCCTTATCCTGATCCTCCTCCTCCTCCTCCTCGCGCCTGCTTTACGAACGGTAAGGGCCAGGACAATAACTAACGGCCGATGTTTCGTCAAAGGGCCCTCGCGTTAGCCCAAGACCCGCAATAACCAACGGTCGAAACTCGTTACATGGATGCGTTGTCAGCATCCGACTAACAAGTAATTGCTGTGCTCATTCTAAGCATGACATGATCAGGCAACTCGAACGCGCCTCTCTGCCCTTCGTTCTCTCCACCTTCTCCACTTTCTCGTACTCCTCGTCCATGCTCCTCGTCCACTCCCCTCCTCCTCCTCCTCCTCCTCCTCCTCCTCCTGCTCCTTTTCCTTCTCCTCCTCCTCCTCTTCCTCCTCCTCCTCCTCCGCCTCATCTTCTTCTTCCTCCTCCTTCTCCTCCTCCTCCTCCTTCCTCGTCTCCTGGAGATTACGCGACCCTCGTCCCTTCTCATCGCCACCTTCCCCCCTCCTGCTCCTCCTCGCCCCCGCTCCTCCTGATCCCCGTCTTGTCGGACGCTCCTCTCCTGGAGAGGTCTCGCGAGCTCGTCTCTGACCGCGGGCACGGGTGCGCGGGCAGCAGAGACGTGGGCGCGAGAACCGGAGAGGGAGCATGGTTTAGGTCGAGCATGTCCCCCTACAGGCGAATTTTGGCAAAGCATGGAAAAATCACAAGTACAAAAAAGGCATCAAATAGTCGAATAATGGTCCCCAGACTATTTTTCAATGTTTGAATATTCCTCCTGTAGAGGATCGTGCCCGACTTAAAACATGGCTCCTCCCGCCCAGTGGGGTTCCCCCCCAGAAAATTCTGGAAGCCACCAGCACGGCAAACGGCGCCCGCAGAGAATCTAGGATGTGGTCTGGCCAGAGTCTCGAGGAACATCCACTCGTGGCGACGACGAGCTCTCCAGGGCGCAGCAGCAGTATCGAATTCATTGCCTCCTCTGACCTCAAAGCGGTGGGGTGTGGGATGACAACGACTATACAGATACACCCTTCCTGCTACGATAGAATTTGGCAACCTCATCGTCTTCCCCGTGCCGCGTGAATGCATGCGCGTGGCTGCGTGCACGAAAAAGCACGCGCAAGCTCGTTGTGACTCGCCCGCCCAGACTGAGACGGATTCCGCGGATCCCAATCGCCCCACGGGGGCGGGGCGGGCTGGGGCTCGCGGAATCTGCTGGCCATCCCCCGAAAAGGGCATGCGCCGTCGTCATCGGAACAACGCAACTACAGCTGCTTAGTGGATTGCCACGAACACCATCCTGTGATACCCAAGTGTCAGGGCCCCCGGCTGCCAGAAAAGGTGCATGTATATTTGCTGTGCTCTGAAGCCAGGGGCCCCGCGACAACTTCCCGGGAACTGGCTTTGATACTAGCTCGTGTTCCGACAGCCCCGTGGGCCAGACGACGAACGAGTTCTGACCTGGTTTTGTTTCCCACATCCAAACTAGGGCTTTCGTTCTTTTAGACACCCCGCGCAGGATTAAGAGAACACCCACACCGACACACACACACACTCACATACACTCGCACGATCACTCACCCACTCACACACTCACACACACACACTCACCCACTGACTCATCCACTCACCCACACACATAAACTCATCATCATCATCACTCACTCACGCACTCACCCATTCACTCACCCACCTACCCGCCCACCTACTCACTCACCCACACACTCACGCTCTCAGCATCATCATTACCATTCATTACCATCGTAAGCTTCATCATTATCATCAACCTCATCTTCACTCACTCACTCAATCATTCGCTCACTCACTCATCTCAAGCGGGAGCTTCGTCTGTGAGTGAATTGCGAGAAGGTCCCCGCAGGAGCCCCCTTCCCAATGGAGCCCATACTAATCCGAGCTGGCCATCGGAATCCTGTAACTGTCGTCACTTTTGGCCTCTTTAAGCTCGAGTGCTGTGGAAGTCTGATGCGGGAGCCTCGTCTGTGAATGAATTGCAAGGAAATCTCAGGCGGGGGCCCCCTTCCAATGGGTCCCGCAGCTCACGTTACTGATCCGAGCGGGTCACCGGAATCCGGTAACCGTCGTCACGTTCGGTCTCTTCAAGATTGAACATGGCGGAAGTCTGATGCGGGAGCCTCGTCTGTGAGTGAAGTGCGAGGAACTTGAAGGCGGGGGGGCCCCTCCATGTGGGGCCCGCAGCTCCCGTTACTAATCCGAGCGGGCCATCGGAATCCTGTAACTGTCGTCACTGTTGGCCTCATCCAACTTGAGTATGGTGGAAGTCTGATGCGGGAGCTTCGTCTGTGAGTGAATTGCGAGGAACTTGAAAGCGGGGGGCCCCTCCTCATGGGGCCCACAGCTCCCGTTACTAATCCGAACGGGTCACCGGACTCCTGTAACTGTCGTCGCTGTGGGCGCCTTCCAGCTTGAGTATGGTGTGAGTGAGATGCGGGAGCTTCGTCGATGAGTGAATTGCGAGGAAGTCTCAGGCGGGAGCCCCCTCCCCATGGGGCCCCTGGCTCATGTTACCAATCCGGGCGGGCCATTGGAATCCAGCAAATGTCGTCACTTTGGGGCTCTTCAAGCTTGAACGTGGCGGAAGTCCGATGCGGGAGCCTCGTCTGTGAGTGAATTGCGAGGAACTTGAAAGCGGGGAAGCCCCTCCCCATGGGGCCCGCAGCTCCCGTTAATAATCCGAGCGGGTCATCGGAATCCTGTAACTGTCGTCACCGTTGGCCAGTTCCAGCTTAAGTATGGTGGAAGTCTGATGCGGGAGCCTCGTCTGTGAGTGAATTGCGAGGAACTTGAAAGCGGGGGCCCCTTCCTCATGGGGCCCGCAGCTCCCGTTCCTAATCCGAGCGGGTCACCGGACTCCTGTAAGTGTCGTCGCTGTGGGCGCCTTCCAGCTTGAGTATGGTGGAAGTCAGATGCGGGAGCTTCGTCTGTGAGTGAATTGCGAGGAAGTCTCAGGCGGGAGCCCCCTCCCCATCGGGCCCCCGGCTCATGTTACCAATCCGAGCGGGCCATCGGAATCCAGTAGCTGTCGTCACTTTTGGGCTCCTGAGGTCGGAATGTGGGGGAGTATCAGACGGGGTTGTCCCAACGGCTGCGCGATGCGGCCATTAGAGAATGCGCCTGTGCTGGCCGAGGCGGCGACGGCGCCGAGGAAAACTGACGCGCGCGCTAGGAGGGAGGAGAGGTGCACGAGGAGAACAGGGGGGGCGGAGATGAGGAGGGGGAGAAGGAGGGGAGGTGAAGGAAGAGGAAGAAAAGGATGAAGAGGAAGAGGTGAGGAGGGAGAGGGAGAGGAGGAGGCGGAGGACGAGCAGGAGGAGGAGAAGGAGGAGGCGGAAGAGCAAGAGGATAAGACATGCAACGAGTAGGACGATAATGAACAAGAGGTGGAAAAGGATGAGAAGGAGGAGGTGGAGGAGGAGGACGCAGCGGGCGGAAGGAAGGCCTCCGCCAGTCGAAGAAGAACACAGCGAGGGACAAGCTGAATTGGTTCTCATGTGGGGTCCTGCCGTCGGAGCCAATCCAAGAAGTTCGATGCCTGGAGGCTGGAAGCACACGTGGCTGCACTCACATGCGGAGACCACCTGCCGGATGCCCATGCGGCTGTCGGACCAAGGTGCCCGGCCGCGCGAGGGCCGAGCGCTCGAGAGACGTACGGCCACATGTCGTTCCGGTTCTCTCCCAAGGGCGACACGCCGTTGTGCCGTGTGCGGGAGGCGGTCTGTGGCACCTCCCTGCCCGTGCGCTGTCAGGCGCGCCCGGCTGCTGTCTGCCTGCCTGTCCCGCAGCAACTACGTCAGATGTGTCCAGCTTCCTCGTGCGGCGGCGGCCGGCATGAAAAGAGCGGGTCCTGCGGGAAACGGGTCATGGACACCCGATGCCTCCCCCGGCACCGATTTTTTTGTTCGGAGCGATGCTCTCGGACGGCCCGCCCCGAGGAGGGCCCCTTAACAGGGAACAGCTTCAGAACTCGTTTCCCCCGAGACCCGTTCCCAGACATCTGACGATGTGACTGACTTTCTCACTGCGTGGCCCCAAAGGTCCCGACCCCAGCCACCGGGGAAGCAGTTTTTCGTCGCCGATGCAGTTTGAATGGCCCCAGGGCCCAGGAACGGCCCCCAGAGGCCCAACTCGAGGTACAACTCTTGGATTGAAACAGGCATCTCGTTGGGAACCTGGGCTTCCTTCATGGCGAGGCGGCCCCTAGGCCCATGGAGGGCCCTGGGTTCCCAACGACACTGAAAACAACCACGGGACCCGATGCTCTCAGGACCCGCTCCCTGACATCAGACGCCTGGAGTTTTGTAACACTCGCCCCGCCCCCCCCGGGAAGACCCCCAACCGTTTCAGCCCGAGCCGTCTCCTCACGGCCCCGGCCTTCGACGGCACTTGGCGGCGGCGGCCCCGGCCGCACTGCCGAGGCGGCGGGCGGCACGTGCCGCGGAGCTGGACGCCCGACATGGACACGGAAACAAAAACACGCGAGGCTCAACGGCACATTGCTGCCCCGAACCGACGGCGGCCGCTGCTGGGCAGGCGGCCTTCTGCCTCAAACACGCGACGACCGCGGCGACGCCAAGAGCGAGTCGTGTTTAGCATGGGCAGGGCTCTTCGAGGAGGCTCCTCCTCCTCGTCCTCCTCCTCCTCCTCCTGTCGGCTTTCGCGCCCACTCTATCCGCACCCGTTGTGATCGTGCCCGGCGGGGCCTCGTGGCCGCCCTGCTTGTGCGCGGCCGGCGCGTCGGGCGCCACCAGGGTGCCGCGCTCCGACTCGGTCGAGGAGGGGGTGGCTCCGCCATTCGCCGAGAAGAGCAACCCCACCCTGATCTCATATCGAGCAATTATGTGTTCACGGCTGCTCTCTCTCTCTCTCTTTCCCTGTATATAGATACACACGCATATATATACACATATGTATATATTTATATACATATAGATTTACATACACACAGATCTGCAAATGTATGTGTGTATCAGAAAGAAGGGACCGAACGGTCTTGCACCGTCCCTGGGCGCGCGGCCACACTGGGATCCAACGACGTGGATAATGATTGTTCTGTTGCTGTTGACTTCTCATTCCTAAAGAGTGCTTATTATTGACATCCCTTCGGGGGCACACTGCGTTTTTCAATTGAAGTGCTTATCCTGGGGTTCGCACCATGTTTCTTACAAGTTTCTTACAAGTGACAACGAAGGGTCACCAAACTGGGCCCGTGGCCCCCGAGTCACAACAACAACAACAACAAAACGGCTCCCGCCTGATACTTCCTCATAACGTATTCCCAATTTGCGCTCTCGCGCGGGACCTCCTTACAATTCACGCAGGAATCGCGCTCTCGCGTGGGACTTCTTCGCAATTTACTCAGACGCTGTGCCCTCAACACTCAGGAATTACGCTATCGTTTTGGATCCCCTTTAGTTTTATTTGGAAATCGCGCTGTGGCTCGAAACTTCTTCGCGATTCATGCAGGACGCGCGTTTCAGCAAACCGCCTGCTCGACCCACCTTCCCGACCCACCTGTTAGGGTCTACCCGCCCGTTCTGCCCGTCTGGTTATACCACGCGTTTTCTGCTCCAAGCCCCCTCTCCTGCTTCTCTCGTTCTTGCTCCATCCTCCTCCCTCCTCCTTGGTCCGTTCCTTTCATCCGTCCTTTCTTCTCCTGCCTTAGGCGCTGCACGAAATACACGTTGCAGGGGGGACAAATCTACCCATGATGGGGGTGCCATCGAAAACGAAGAGGGCGGGTATCGAGGAATTGGGATATGCGTGATGAAGGGCACACGAGCAGATGAGAGCGAACAGGAGTCGCCAAACTGCGCCCCTGGCCCCTGGTTTACAAGCCCTCGCTGCAAACTTTCTCGGGATTGTTTTGGGATTCGCGCTGTCGCTTGAGACATCCTTGCGATTACTGCAGGACGCACGCTTCAGCAAACCGCGTGCTCGACCTGGCTACTTGGGCCCGCCTTCCCAAAACGCCTGGTAGGGTCTACCCGCCCGATCTGCCCGTCTGGTTCTGCCACGCGCCTTCTGCTCCAAGCCCCGTCCTGCTACTTTCTGTCGTGCTCCATCCTCTTCCCTCCTTCTGGTCTACTCCTTCCATGCGTCTTCCTTCCCCTGCCCTAGGGGATGCACGAAATACGCATTGCAGGAAAAAAACACATTCACCCGAATGGGGGTCCGATCGAGGACGAAAACGGCGGGTATCGAGGAATTGGGATATACGTGCTGAGTGGCACGCGAGCAGATAAGAGCGAACAGTCTTAAAATGATCATTGTTGTTGCAGCTGGTGTTGTTGTTGTGGTTGTGGTTGTTGTTGTCGGTGTTGCTTATCGTTTTTGTTGGTGGTGCTGTTGATGTTGTTGTCGTTGTTGTTGTGTTGCTGTCGATGTCGCACCCGAAACCGACACCGCGACCTACCCCGCGACCCACTACCCACCCTCGACCCACCCGCGACCCACCTGCGAAACATCCGCGACCCATCCGGCGAACGATCCCCCGACCCAACCACGATTGATTCATCCTGCGACACATCCCGCGACCCGCCCGCGACGCACCCGCGACCCACCTGCCGACCGTTCCGCGACCCACCCGTTGAACCACCCCGCGTCTCACCCACGACGCACACCACCATCGACAACATTATCAGAAATTTCACGTCTGCGGCGGGCTGTATTGCATCGGTATGGGACAGTGCAACCGCTGCGCGACCACCCGCGACTCACTTCCGAACAACTGGCGGCCCACCTGTGTTCATTCGGCAACATGGTACAACATTAGCCTGGCGAAAGACCCAACCATATGCTGTGGCGAGTACCGCAATTGTGAACATCTTCTTCTTCGGTGGGGCTCCCTATAGGGCCGCGAACCGTATGAGGGGCGTGCCGAACTGTGGCGGGGTACACAAAGCAAAGGAACACGATAGGTCGAATTGCGAGAGACAAAACGCGGGCGAGTCAGAGCGCGAGTAAGTCTGAGTGTGAATGAGTCTGCGTGCGGGAGAATATATTTGCGTGGATGCGATCACAGATACGCCTAGTGCGTACGCATATGAATGTGAATGGTTCGGGCATGCCTGTCCGAACACTCGCGTGACACTGAACGTGGCCGCCGCAGGCAGCTTCCGCGGGAACCCCGACGGCAGCGCCCGCGCGCCGCGACGCCCACGTCGGCACGCCCCTCACGAGGATCGCACCCGCTTCCGTTCCTTTTGGTTCCTCCCTCTTTGCCTGCGCAGTCCAAAATCCAAGGCTGCGGGCGCAGCGCTGCGCGGAGTCCCCGCGACGCGCGCTTGTCGCCCTTGAGGGGTCCCAGCGACGCGCGCGGATCGTCCGCTGCGCGGAGCAAAGAGAGCTAGCTGGCTCGCTGACAGCGGGCAAGGCTCTGGTCGCTAGGCAGAGCGACGACGGGCGAGCGAGGCGCCGGGCAGGACGCAGCGCGGAGCTCCCACGACGCGCGCTGGTCGCCCCGAGAGGGTCCCAGCGACGCGCGGGTCGTCCGCGGCGCGAGGCCAGACAAGTTGTTGGACAGTCGAGAGAAGGCGCGGCTCTCGCGGGGCGCTCCTCAGGTCAGGCCTCGCGGATAAACTCGGTGAAGCCGAGCTCCCTGGCGAGGGCCGTCGCCTCCCTTCTGCACCGCGTCGTGCGCGCCGCGAACTGCCCCAGCTGCTTTCGCAGGCCCTCCGGCGGCCCTGCCAGGAAGAACTCGACGCGCGGCGCCCGCATGAGCAGGAGGTCCTCGTGGCGCGTGGCGAGCGAGAGCAGCACATAGAGTTCCAGCCACCAATCGTCGTCCTCCTTCTTGCCGTTCCCGACCTCGTGGCGGCCGCAATCCAGGATCACGCCTGGGCGACGTCGGCCGGGGGAGCAGCGCGCCGGACAGCTGACGGCCCAGGGCGAGAGTCCACAGGATCGAGGTCTGGCTGCGGACTGCTCGCGCCCAGCAGGTCTGGCCGTAAACTGCCCAGAGCGCTGTTCCCTCGCCCCGTCGCCTTCGCGCATGGCGCGCCCCTGGCACGCCACCGTGGTGATGACCCTGCTGTGCGAGAACGGGAAGCCCGTTCGGGTGACCTCGGAGGTGCGGAAGGTGAACGGCTCCGACGTACGAGGCTCGATGAACACCAGCGGGCCCGTGAGTGTGAGGGGTGTGCCGAAGTGGGGGCGACGCATGTGGACGGTGGCACTGGGGCCTTCGGTGGAGCTCCCTGTGAGCCACGCAACGTGTGAGGGGTGTGCCGAAGTAGGTGAGGGGGACGCATTTGGACGGTGGCACTGGGGCCTTCGGTGGAGCTCCCTGTGGAGCCACGAAGCGTGTGAGGTGTGTGTGCCGAAGTTGGTGGGTGGGGGGGACGCATGTGGACGGTGGCACTGGGGCCTTAGGTGGAGCTCCCTATGGGGCCACCAAGCGTGTGATGGGGGTGTGCCCAAATGGGTGTGCGTGACGCATGGGGCGGTGGCACTGGGGCCTTCGGTGGAGCTCCCTATGGGCCACGAAACGTGTGAGGAGTGTGCCGAAATGGATGGGGGGACGCATGTGGACGGTGGCACTGGGGCCTTCGGTGGAGCTCCCTGATGGCCAAGAAACGCGGGAGGGGTGTGCCGAAGTGGGTGGGGGCGGCGCATGTAGACGGTGGCACTGGGGCCTTCGGTGGAGCTCCCTATGGGGCCACACAACTTGTGAGGGGTGTGCCGAAGTGGGTGGGGGGGACGCATGTTGACGGTGGCACTGAAGCCTTCGGTGGAGTTCCCTGTGGGGCCATGACACGTGTGAGGGGTTTGCCGAATTGGGTGGGGGCGACGCATGTGGACGGTGGCACTGGGGCCTTCGGTGGAGCTCCCGATGGGGCCACGAACCGTGTGAGGGATGTGCTGAAGTGGGTGGGGGGGGACGCATGTGGACGGTGGCACTGGGGCCTTCGGTGGAGCTCCCTATGGGGCCACACAACTTGTGAGGGGTGTGCCGAAGTGGGTGGGGGGGACGCATGTGGACGGTGGCTCTGGGGCCTTCGGTGGAGCTCCCTATGGGGCCACGAAACGTGTGAGGTGTGCGCCGAAGTGTGTGTGGCTGACGCATGCGATGATGGTGATGATGAGTGCCATGATGATGATGTTGATGATGATGATGATGACGATGATAATGATGAGGATGATTATGATGATGATGATGATGATGATGATGATGATGATGATGATGATGATGATGATGATGACGATGATGATGTTGGGAGGGGGGAGGAGGGGGAGGAGTAGAGGAGAGGAGGAGGAGAACGCGGGGCGACGTCTCTTCAAAACGAGGACCCAACACCACAGAATGGTTAGGAAAAATGGCGCCTGCGGCAGACTGCATTGCATTGGTGTACCCCATCGCGCGAACTTTCCGCGTCCAATATGCGATCCACCCCACGTTGTATCTGCACGTCCTCTTCGTTCTTTCCTCGCTATTCCTCCTTCCTCATTCTCTCCATCCCCAGGCATCCTCCGTCCTCTTCCGCTTCGGGGGGTCCCGTGACCTCTTGGGGTGCAGCCGGGCCCTCGAAAGCAATCACTACTAGGGGGGGCCCGGGACCTCTCGGGGTGCCGCCAGGCCCTCAACAAAGGCAATCATCCCATTGCTTTTGTCTACAACTGCCTCTGGCAATCCCGCCGCCGTGCCCAGCCCTGGGGGCTCAGGGAAGCGTGCCTCGAGGCGCCCACGGGGAAGGGCCTCCGGGGCGCCTGGCGACCTTCCAGGGGGGCGCCCAAGAACGCTGTCAGAAACTCAACAGGCATGCGAACAGCCCACTGCCGTACAGGCACGGCGGCGGATCCGGCATACGGGGCTTTGGTCATGCGTGCATTGTCGTAAACCCTCTGTGGCTCTGGAGCGTGACCTGAGCGGTGCACCGGGTCGTGTCGAGGAGCCGCGCACACATCTACACCGCGCCTCCCCCCCTTCTTCTCCCTTCCCTCCTCCCCTCCTGCCCCTGCCCTGGCATCCAGAGAGGAGGAATAGCTTCTGCGAACCTGCTCCCCCTCCCCGTCCCCTCCGAAGGAGGGGGGGGGGAGGTCGGTGCAAAGGAAACGGGTCCTGGAGTAGAGGTCCTGGAGGTTTTTCGCAGCTGTCGGGCCCCCTCTGAGCTCTCCACGGGCACTGGGAGCGTCAAAGAACGACTCGGGATGAGGGGCTGGTCCTGGAGAGGGGTCCTGGGGGCTTAGGCCCTGCTTCCCTTAGGCCCTCGTTCCATTGACAAGGGAGAAGGGAAGGAGATTCGAAGAGGCTTCTCGCCATTTTCTAGCTCTGGAACTCCTCTTCGGGACCCAGGACCTTCAAAATCGGCCCGGGGTGCCAATTGCGTCCCGCGCTCAAGGAAGGCGAATCAGCCAGACGCGGGAAGAGACGGGTCTGGTGGAGTGGGAAGGGCGCAGTGCTCAATGCACTGTCGAGGCCTTCCGATGGCTGGCGCGTTCTGGGCGCGGCCCCCCTCCATGGGATGTCCCCTCACCGGGGCCCGGGGCAGAGAAGATTGATTCGAGGTGAAGACATGAGGGGCAACGGGTTTGGGAGGGGAGCTCAAGGGGGCCGCATCGAGTCGGAATCGGCGATACACCACGGATAGATCGGAGACTTGCACCCGATAGCGAGTCCGCAGGTTCCTGGGCGTGGTGTGCTATCGGGCCCCAATCGGCGATGAATGGGCGATAGGGGCTTAAAGCGTCCCCTTCTGAGCCAATCCCCTCCGAACCTCGCACTTGAAAATCCTGAGAAAGGAGTCGGGACCTCAGCGGACCCAAGATGTGAAAAAACCCAAAGGATCCACGAACGCGATAAGGAAGTGGAGTAAGTTTCTTCTGACGCGCGTGCTACACGCTCCCTCTTCTGGATTGCAACCTCTACCTCCTCCCCCTCCTCATCCTCCCCCTCTTCTTCCTCCTCCTGCTCCTCCTCTTCCTCCTCCTCATCCTCCCTCCTCCTCCTCCTCCTCCTCCTCCTCCTCCTCCTCCTGTTCATCATCATCATCATCATCATCATCATCATCATCATCATCATCATCATCATCATCATCATCATCACCACCATCATCATCATCATCATCATCATCATCATCATCATCATCATCATCATCATCATCATCATCAATATCAGGAGCATCATCACGGGGGGGGGCATGGACACGCGAAAACACCTGCCCATCGCGCACGAGTCAGGCGCATGTTGGGGGTCCCTCCCCGCCGCGCACTCGTTCCCCCCCCCCCCCAGAGGGCCGTGGACTCGTGAAAACACGTGTCCCGCGCGCACTCGCCTGGCGCATGATGGGCCCCCCCCCTCTCCGCACTTCAATTCGAAGTGTAAAGAATCCGCCGACCAGAAGTCGGCCCTCTCCCACAGGGGCCGTGGACACGGGAAAACACGTGCCCTGCGCGCACGCGCCAGGCGCATGTCGGGTCCCACCCCCACTCCGCGCACGTAGACCTGCATGCAAAGAACCCGCCGGCCAGAAGTTGGGTCCCCCCTGCGGGGCCCGTGGTGGCGAGAAACATGACGGGAACACACACATACCAAACGCATGCACGCCGAGACGCATGTTCGAGACCCCCCCCCCTCCGTAAACGTATTCGAGCATGTCAAATTCCGACGCCTGCTGCTCGACACCCTTCTGGAACAGGGCCAAGGGCCCGCCAACGCGAAAGGAACTCTGGGCCGGAGCCCTTACCTGGAAACTCCCAACTTCTGGGATTCGAGAAACCGTTTGGTGGCAGATGGTTCAGTATGTGTAACTGCACGGCCTAGCCAGGATGAACCCCGTGATAGGTCTGGGGATCGATTTGATCGGATCTTCGTCGGGGTCATCTGTCACCGTCGTCTCTTCCCGACTGGTCCCTCCCCTTGAGAGATGGGGTCGGCGATCGACGCAGAGATGGCATCCAACACATACCTCGAAGCCGAGCGAAACTCCAATTGCAACGACTCGTACCTCGCACGTACCACGCCATTCGAGTGTGCGCCGGCGTCTTGAGAGCTGGCTTGAATGAGCACGCAGCGTTCCCTTCCTCTCCTCCTCCTCCTCCTCCTCCTCCTCCTCCTCCTCCTCCTCCTCCTCCCCCAGCCCGGACTCGCTCCAACACCTCGGGGATCCGCTGCATCCTCAGACCACCACCTAGCGTCGTGAAATCACGGCGGAATGGAAGTTTCTGTCAATGTAGAGCTTTGCCCCCCAATGAGACCCAGGGCCGTAGAAATACACCTCGGGATGAGAACACGGCACATGGGTCTGCGTTGTGGAACAGCCAAGACGCTGGCCTGACTCCAAAGCGGTCACTGCCTCCCAACCCATCCGCAGGCCCGCTGCATCCGCACGACTAAGACAACGTCCTTTTCCCTCCCTCCCGCCCCCTGCTTTCCCCCGTCCTCCCTCGCTTGCTCGCTTCATGCCCCACTCCCAAACTCCCCCATCTCCCTCCCTCCCTCCCTCCCTCCCCCTAGACATCCTACGCGGCTGTTGCTTCGTGACGTGAGCACCCGCAGCTCTCGACTCCCGCTCCGTTCTACGAAAAATGGTTGTCCTGCAGGTCGTTTTGTCTTTGGCAGCCCCTGGTCCCGAAGCTGGCCGCCACTGTTCTTTACATCGGCGGGACATCTCGATCTTACCCGTCTCCTCTTCCTAACTGCTCGAAGACGGAGGCGCTACCCGCGCAACGAGAACCCGGCACAACCGATGGCCGTTTGGCAGACGCGCCCAGAGAGGGAACCGTACAGCGCCGCAAAGACCTGGAAGCATCCCAGCCCAACAGCCCAGCTATGGGGGTCGGGAAGGTTGTTCTAGAGATCAGAGAACCCACCCCAATAGTAAACACGCCGACGAGCGAAGCCGTCTGGTCAGCGCACCCATGGACGCAATCGAACAGGGCAGGGCCGTTCAGCCAACGCCCAGGGCCGTTCGGTAAACGCCGCTTCTCGGGGTCGGGGCGGCGTTTCTTCCCTCGACCTTCCCTCCCCTGCCAAGATGCCCTTCCCTCCCCTGCCAAGAGCCCTTCCCTCCCCTTCCAAGAGCCCATTCCCTTTCCTCCCCTGGAGCCCTTCCCTCCCCTCCCCTTCCCTTGACCTTCCCTCCCCTGCCAAGATGCCCTGTCCTTCCTCCTCCACGCCGCCCGCGCCAGCGACGTCTGGGGGGGCCCCGCGCAGCAGCGTCGGTGCGCCTTCGTGCCCGCGCCCCGCTCGCCCCGCATCCCACCGCCCCCCCCTGCCCGGCGAAGCTCCATTCGGAGCGCGCGTGCGCGCCCGCGCGCGCAGGTCTGCCTGTACGCCTTCGTGTGCGGCGCGGGGTGCGCAGGAAGGGCCCACGCCTGCCGAGCGGCCGCGCGCTCTCGGCGGTGCTGAGCGGGGCAAGCACCTTTGCTTCGCGGGTCGAGAGCGCACCTCTTCCCGTCGAAGCTCAGCGGGCCGCGCGAAGCTTGAATTACTCCCAGAGATGGGGGAGAGCAGGGCGAGCACACGCTGGGATGACACGCGTACGGAGGGTCGCCGAACTCGGCACGCCCGAGACTGGGGCCGAGAGAGTGGGGACGATGCCCAACAGCGACCGTTGTCAGGCAAACGGCGCTCGTCCAAAAGGGAGCTCGCCGTTGGCGCCGCCGCCGTCGTCGGCCGAGCGTGTGCTCGCCGACGAGGGCGCTTCTGTGGCAACTGCGACGACAGCGCGTCCCTGTCTGGGGAGGACAGGAACTGCAGTCGGTGATTATCCGCCCCATCTCCGAACGCACGATGATTTCCAAACCGGATGAAGACTCAAATCGGGAGCCTCTGGGAACCAACGGGTCTGCAGGGTGTACTTGGCACCAGGGCCGTTCCAGAGCGCTCTGGAAGACTCCGAAGCTATTCTGGAACGCTCCTGAGCGATTTGTCCTTGTCCTAATTAGGCTTAAGTCGGGCGTGTCCCCCTACAGGGGGGATTTTCGACCAACAATTAAGAAATATGCAAACATACTCCCAAATGGCTGAAAAATACCAAAAATAGTCACCAGATTATTTTGTTGACTATTCTTGAATATTCCCCCTGTAGAGGGACAAGCCCGACTGAATCCTAGGCCTGCCTGGCCCAGATCCTGGCCGTCTCGAGTCCCTCCCAAGGGTCTGATTTTCTATAATCCAGAGTAATATGCTACCGGCTGCATGACCCCGCGAAACCTCGCAAAGGACGACACACATGAGCAAAACCTTCCGTCGTGATTTCCCCGCGACGCGAGAAGGTCTGGCTTCAAAGCCACACAAACCACAACAGCTCGAGCCTGTGGCGGCCACTCTGGACGGCCCCGGGGGACCCCCAGAAGGCTCTCGACGAGGCGCAGGTGCTGGAAGGCACCCCGAGCTGCAGGAACCAACGGAACGTCCGAATACCCACGCCCCAGGGGAATGAGCAATGACATCAACACATCAACTCGGAGGCCCGCCCAGATGCCTCGGACCCGGCGACGTCGGCGACCTCTCGGCGCCATCGGCGTGGAGAAACTCGCGGCCCACATCGAGCCGCACCGCCGGCGCGGCGCGATCCTCCGACCCCATGCACCTATGCCGACCCCGGCGAAGAGGCCTATAGACTGCCGTCCCCGTGGCGCCCCGCCCCCCCTGCTGGACGAGGCCCCGGCCAGGCCCGACGAGGCCGGCACGCCCTGGTCCAGCTGGCCGAGGCGGGACCTGGAGGACGAGCCCTTCCGGCCCCGCCTGCGCAGGAGGTCCAGCAGCACCGCCTCGGCAGGTCGCCGGCGCGGAGGGGGGGCGGGATCGCACAGGCATCCGGCGTCTCGAAGAACTCGACACGGACGCTTTGGTTCATGGTTTTCGGCCTCCCGGGGCCCCCACCGGGTCTCGGAACCGTCAAAAAACGATGTGAACAACCATTCCCAGGGAGGTGGTGGAGAGGTCGGGAGCCTGTGCCGGCAACAAATCGAGACGTCCGATGTCTGGGACCCCCGGGCAATCGCGTGTGTGAACCCCACCTCTGCAGGTTCGATTTCTGGAGAACTGCTTGGGTTTCGGGGCCCAAAAGATATCTGCAGCCAATGCGACCCCATCGGGGGTGTCCGACACACACACACACACACATGCGGTTTCGGCGTGCTGTGAGCCACCCCCCGCCCACAACCTGTCGGGACACAGCGTGTCCCGAGCGGGGAGGGGGTCAGGCCAAGCCTCCTGGGAAGACTTCGCATCGGTCTGAAGAAGTAAGAAGAAACATGAAGTAGTAAGGCGTTGAGAGTAGATTGGGTGTCCGCCCGCCCCCTAAGGAGGACGGAAAAGGCGAAGCCACTCGACCATTGAAGTAGGAATGCGCTGACAGTAGATTGGTATTGGGGAATCCAGAAATACCTACTTCAACGATCGATGGGTACGTATGATGATGGATATGACGATGTCTGACCTGTTTTACCGTACGCGGCGTATCCTGTAGGTTCCAAGCCCCGAGGGTGCAGAAGACCCCCAAGAAGTGGAAGGCGGGAAGCTCACCAGGCGCTTTCGCCAAATAGGCACGCACGCAGCGATCACCGTCGCAACGGTCCCCCCGACTTGGGTGGCAACAAGATGCAATACAGAACAATATGGGGTCTAGGTAGGCGTCTGTAGGACGCCGCGTATCGAACAAAAGCAATGCTCTACACCTCTTGGGACACCCCGGGAGGAACCAAATCAAAAAAACGGGACCCTCCCGAAAGAGGTGTGGGTGGCATGGCTTTTGCCGCGCCAGCGGCGAGGCGGCCCCCGCCCCCCCCGAAGTGCCCGAGCACCACCCGCGCACAGAACAGTGAGGTCTGACAGGCGAATCGTGCTGCCGGAGGCCTCCCCCCGAACATGAGGGAATCGTGTTCCCGGAAGCCCCTGCAGGAACATGGGTCAATCCAGACCCGGGTCAGCAAGACACCAAAAACTGCAATGCAGGACAAAAAAGAACTGCAACGCAGGTCTTCGCAAACCCGGGTCAGCCACTAGGCGCGGCCGCCTCGCAACCACGAGCGGCTCGCTAACCTGGGTCAGCCAGAGGGGGTCTCCGCAGGGTCCTGCAGGATCCGGTGCCGTGGCTGACCCCCGTCTGCATTCACCCCCGTCTCGAGGCTCCCGACATGGTTCCACGGCTGGCCCTGCCGCCCAAACAGCGCACCTGGGCCTCTGTGTACCTCGCCCCCATGCGGGGTCCCAGCACACGCGGCCCCGGCGTGCTGGGAGCCGCCTTCTGCCCGCAACCTGTCGGGCGCAGTGTGTTTCCCGAGCGGGGAGGGGGGGGGGTCAGGCCGAGGCTCCTGGGAGTACTACGCGTGATGATGATGATGAGGAGGAGGAGGAGGAGGAAGAGGAGGAGGAGCAGGAGGAGGAGGAGGAGCAGGAGGAGGCGGAGGAGGAGGAGGAGGAGGAATAGGAGGAGGAGGAGGAGAGGAGGAGGAGGAGGAGGAGGAGGAGGATGAGGAGAGGAGGAGGAGGAGGAGGAGGGGGAGGAGGAGGAGGAGGAGGAGGAGGAGGAGGAGGGAGGGGGAAGGGGGAGGGGGAGGAGGAGGTCGCAATCGGAGAGCCCAGAGGGATCAACACCGAAGGCGCAGAATACCCCCGACGGCAACGCGCGCCCCAGGCGAGGCCAGCAGCAGTGGGCATCAGACCCACCGGCGGATCGCGCGGAAGCCCAGCCGCAGCACGTCTTCCAGCAGAACGAGGGCGTCGGAAGTCATCGAAGAGGCCACCGAGTGCACCTTGCCATCCGCTAGACCAGGAATCCCAGGCGCGGCGCCAGCAGAGCTTCCCCCACCGACGAGTTCACTTTCTCCATGAGATCCTGGGCGTCATTGTGAACGTCTTGGCCTGGGGCTCGGTGCGCTCCAGGACCTTTCCCCATTGCTACCTTCGCCGCCGCCAGGCGGCCACCCAGCGAGGGCAAGGCAGACGCTCCCCGGAGACGCCGAGCACCCGCCGCCACGAACGGAAGCTCCGGCTGGGCTCCTTCGAGGCACTCCAAAACTGCAGCGGAACCCCATCGACCCAGGTGCTGAATGCAGGAGATGGCACAGCCCCGGCGGGCCAAGTGCTCTGCCCCCGACCTCCCCGCCGAGTGTCCCGACGGCCCCCCCCCCCCCGGCGGGAGCATGAGCGCCAGGCGCCCGTGACCGCAGATCTCGGCGGGACCTCGCCTGCGTGGCTCGGAATGGCGGGCACGTCAGCGAACCCCTCGCCCAGGCTCCCGCCGCAGCGCTCCTGCAACATGACCAGGCGCTTCGCCAGCTCGGGGGCGGGGCACGTGGCTGCATCCAGCCGGCCAAGGTCACAAGTGCAAACCCATGTGTGTGTGTGTGTGCCTGGCGCCGCAGCCGCCCGCGTCCGCCTTCGGGACCAGCAGGCCTGCGGAGGATCGTCTCGGGGCCGATCCCCGCTCCCTTCCTAGAAGCTGAACTCCAGTACCCCCTCGATCTCTCGAAAGAGGAAACGGAAAGCGAAGACGTAGGAAGAGGCAGGCGCCACAGACAGTCAGCCAAGACGAAGAGGAGGAAGGGGAGGAAGGGGAGTACGGAGGTTGAGACGCCACGTTCGGGAGGACCACCTCGACCTGCTTGTGCTCCAGCGCCTTGATCCTGGGATCGGCCTCCCGCCCAATGGAAAGCTTCGCCTGGAAGACCGCCCAGGCTAGTTAGCCAGGCCTGAACCTCGAGCCCCCTCCCAACGAGCATGAGGCGGAGCTCCCCGAAGTGCGAGGCGCCCGACTTGTCGTGCGGGGCCTACGCGAGCTGGAGGACCTCCGCCCGCTCTGCCGAGACTGCTCCAGCACTGCGGCCTCCAGCAGCTCGGGAGCCAGGGCGACGCGCAGCGCCGTGCCCCACGACGCCGCGGCAGGCTTCGGCTGGACTGAGAGGTCGCGTCGAGGCGCACGCCAACGGCCCCTCGACCTCCGGCGCCCCGCTGCACCCCTACCATGCCGCCGCAGGCGGAGGTGACGGCGATGCCACCGCCGCTGCCGCTGCCGCCGCCTGCCGCGCAGTCAGCCCGCGCTGCGGGATCGCCAACTGCCGCACCGGCGGGGCGGCGCCGCGGCGCCCAGGCTGGCGGCCGGCCACGCAGCCTGCGCGCAGCCATCGCTGTGGCACCGCGAACCCCCCCCCAAAAAAAACGGTGTGGGCATTGGGCAAGGAAACCTTCGACAAGGAATCCAAGGTCTGGAAGCCAGTGGAACTCCATGCGTGGATCGGCCATGGCTATCACCGCCGCCCTCCTCGAGTACGGAATCCTCCAGGGTCTGGCGCCTCCTGGGGCCATTCCCGAGCCAACGCCTCCACCGTACGAACCACAAGTGACTGACCACCCTGGCGAACCACGGCGGCCGCAGACCGGGATGGGCCACGCAGCAGGGCTGGAGCACACGCAGATCAGGCTGGCTCTCGCCGGGGTCCGCGCCTGCTCGAGGAGCCCGCGGCGCACCAGGGCGCGGCGCGGGGTCGCGCCGAACACTGCGCAGACACAGAAGTCGGCAGCGACTCATGACTCTGGACACCTCCCCGGGAACATGGAGCAATCGCGGTCCCGCAAAGCCCTCCAGGAACATCGCGGAATCAGGTTCCCGGGTGCCCTTCCGGGAAGATGGCTCCACGGCAGCATCGCGCGGCCAGCGTCCTCGACGTCTGCTTCCATACGCTCGAAACGCGTCAGCGGCAACGCTTGGCAACAAACAGTACGCCCACAAAGGGCGCGCGCAAAACAAAAAATCACGCAAATCGTCGGCGATTCATTTCTCCGGAAGCCTCCCTGGGAACAGGAAGTAATCATGTTCCCTGAAACCCCTCCAGGAACATCTCCGAATCAGGTAACGCGATTCAACGGTAGCGGCGAGCCGCCAGCCCCCTCGACGTCTGCTGCCACGCGCACGAAACGCGTCAGCCACAGCGCCACGCGAAATATTACACCCACAGAGGCTACGCGGCAGTGGCGATCACAGCAACGGCAGCGACGCGCGGCAAGCGCCCTTGAGGTCTGCGGCCGCGCGCGCGCGAAACGCGTCAGCCACAGCGCCGCGCGAGAGACGGCACGCACAAGCCAATCCTTCTTCGCGTCAAATCGGCCACCACTGGGCTCCACGCGCGGCACCCCGCAAAGCGTCATGAGGATCCCCCCTGCGCCCACCAAGGCGGCGGAGCACCAAGCGAGCAGGCCGCCCGAGACATCCCCACCACCTGGGCGCGAACGGGCAAGGCGCCCCTCCCCGGCGGCTCCCCCTTGGGGAGCCGAGGTGCCACGCCTGCTGTGTCGCACCGTGGGGCTCCCAGGAGGGAGAAGCCCTGGGGAGCCAGGCAGGCAAACCGCCTGACACACCGCCACGATCAGGACCGCCTGCACGGAGAAAGGCAAACGCCCCTGGCAGCTCCTCCTCGGGGTGCCGAAGTGCCGCGCCTTCTGCATCGCGGTGGTCACTGGGCTCTCAAAAGCAACGAGACCGAGCCACCGAGCGCTCAAACAGCCCAAGGCATCCCCACGATCTGGCGCGAACGGAGACATGCACACACCTCCCTGGGGTGCCCAAGTGTCACGCCTGCGGTGTCGCGGTGATCATACTGCGGGTGTGGATGGTCATACCGTGGGTGCATCTCGGAGTGAGTAGTGCGAGTCTGGGATTGAATATGCCTTGGAAGAGTGTGTATGGAGCTGGGCGCGAGTGCTCTGTGTATGAGTGTATCTGGTTATGAGAGGAGTCTGAATGTGAGTGAGTCCTGGTATGAGCAAGTCTGAGTGTGAGTGAGTCTGAATATGCGTGACCGGGTTTTGGCTTTGGACGCCGCCGGGAATCATCCGAGGACGTCCTTGGACGCGTGTCGTGACCAGAGGTCTGAGTCACCGAGTGTGATGCAAGAGGGAGACGTGTGGAGCATGAGTGAGGAGGAGGCGTCCCACTACAGTGCAGTGATTATTATTGGCAGTGGTTTGTCGATCGCAGGTTGACAAATCGCAGGCGCACACCATGGATCACGCACGCGCCCACGCGCGCGCACGCGCAGCAGCACGAGCACGCGCACGCGCTCAGGATCCGGCTCGGGCTCGGGCCTGGGCTCGGACCTAGGTTCGGGCTCTGACTCTGGCTCGGGCTCGGGCTCGCGCTCGGGCTTGCTCGGGCACGCACGCGCGCACGCTCACGCACACGCGCACACGGCCCGCGTACGAGAGCGAGGCGTGACCACAATGCTAGGACCGCCTCTCCCCTGGCTCCGTCCCATCCCCCACCCACCCCTGTCTACTTGTGAAGCCCGAAGCAAGGCAAGGCTCCAGCGCCGAATTCTTACGCAAGAACCTGGCTCCAGCAGAATATTCCGACAAGGAGGGTGGCTCCAGCACCCATGTTTTGCGAGGGGCGCTGGTTCCAGCATCCCAGGGAAAGTCATTCCAGCACGCTATACCGACAACAAGAAGCGTGGGCTTCCGTCTGAAAAGGCAGCTAGAGCGACCCGTGCCCCAACCACGAACCCACCGACAGTCCGTCAAACATTTCACTAGCAACATGTTCACCTCACTGTACCAACAAGAACCGCACCTGAGGATACGGGGAAGACTCCGAACCTCGAGGAGCATCTGCTGCTGGATGCCTGGGAGTTTTAAGGAAACCAAGAGGCACCGACCCCGCCGGTCCCCAGACCTGTTCCGTGGTCCGTTGAATGTTCTGACCCGAATTCCGCAGCAAATCCAGCGGTGCCGACGAGGGCCCAGGGCCCCCCCCAGGAGGCCCAACAGAGAGAAAAGAGGCAACGGGAGCGGTAGCGGCAATGCTTCCCCCTCTGACCAGCCCCCCCCCATGCACCCCTCGGCAAAAGCTTGGAGTGTCTCGAGATACCTGGTGTGCCATAGTGTGTATGGGGTTGAAGTACAAGGGTACAGAACCCCTGATCCGTTGGTAGAGGGAAGGAGGGATAGATGGATGTCTTTCCCTCCTGCACGATCAAAGGTCTGATCGATCTGTCCCAATACCTGAGCCCAAACGGCCAGGCGCAGGAGAGGTGAGGATAAGGAGTATATATGAGGGTATTACACGGGTTCTATTCACACATAGAGGGCACTTCGCAGAAACGCCCTCTCGACCACCTGCCGAAGCTTCTGCCCCAGGCAGCACGGGCCTGGTGGCTCTCGAGCTGCGCGCCGAGCTCCTGGACCTCCCGCTGGAGTGGGGCGGGCACGCGCTGCCGGCGTCCCTCCTGTGCGGCAGGCCGGGACGACGACGACGACCACGACGACCACGACGGCCACGACGGCCATGACGAAGACGCCGACGCCGCAGACGACGACGACCACGACGACCACGACGACGACGACGGCCATGACGACGACGCCGACGCGGCAGACGACGACGACCACGACCAGAGCGCCGCCGCCGGCGCCGCCGACGAAGATGCCAACGACGACTATGACGAGGACGGCGTCGAGGACGACGACGAGGACGCCGACGACGACGACAGCGGCGACGACGACGACGACGACGACCACGACAAAGTTTGGATTTATAAGGCTTCCTGGGCGGAGCTATGGGGGATTCATTGGGAGTTGGAATGCGGAGCAGGAGGAGGGGGAGAGGAGGAGGATGACAGCCGAAATCTCCGATGCCTTGATTCCTTCATTACGTGGGCCTTGGAAGTCTCGACCCATCCCATGGGGTCGGCTTCACATCCTTAGTAGATTGCCACAGCCTGGCGCCCGAAAACAGTCCCCATACAACAAAAGCGCAGTCTTGATTTGTTCAAGACGTTGGAGGTTGGGGGAGCAGGACCATGGGAAGGAATGGCAACGCGCAGGCAAACATAATTCTCGTAGCCCGTAGCCCTTGTGCGAAGCCGGCGAATCGAGTGTAGAGTTGTACTCGAACTCGGAAGCATCCGAGGAACCGATGGGAACCTCTCGAGAGGGGGGGGGAGGGGCTGGGCTCTACAGGGTGTTAGGGATCCCCACTGCTGTAGAAGGTCCCGCGGGGGTGTAGGAAGTCCAGAAATGTCGAGGGTGAGTACGTGGCATGGATAGTAAGAGGATGGTGAGCTGGTGCAGGAGGGGGAATGAGAGGAACAAGTCGGGATGCAGATGTGGACTCTTCCATTCCTCGCTCTCTACCTCCTCGTTGTCCTTCCCTCGCTCATCCTCCATTGCCCACCCTCCCCGTACTCAATCCTCATCCTTCCTCCTTCCTCGCTCCTGCTGCTACTCGTTCTTCTCTGCTCATACAGCTGCTCCTTCCCTTCATCCTTCTCAGCAGGACGAAGAGGAAGCGGAGGACGACCCAGACAATGCGCTGGACAATGCGAGGAGGACGAGGACAAGATGGACAAGCAGCTAAAGACGAGGACAATGCGGGGGGCTTCTTCACTTTACCATGGAAAAAAACAAACCTCCGCATGCATACTTGGCACCGTTATGATGCAGTGAGGTACTGGACACCTGGATTCACCGGAATAACGAATACTAGGGGAGCGTGTTGAGCAACAAGATTGTCAAGATTGCCCGCGGCCCTGAATCCCTACCGAACGAGAAAACGTATGAAACAACTTCTGTGCCATTTGATGGCGTCCTCCTTGCAATGCAAGGACGAGCAGCTAGCAATGGGCAGCAAAAAACAACTATCCACCCTGCACTGCCGCGGCAGAACCGCAATGCTCTCCTAAACCCTGCGGCTTTTGGCAAGGCCGTGAGCCTACGGCCTGGTGACTTGTGACTAGCCGTAAACATGGCGCGTGTGCGGCTCGCGCCGATGACCACTTAAATCGATGACATTATCACTTATGCTACTATTCAAATGTCGGTTCAAATGCTGGCACGTTTCATGCAACGCGCCCAGAGTCCAAGCATCACGGCATCACTTCCTCCCGGATTCGTATTCACGTTGCGTGCGCTTTCCCGCTTGTGCAGGCCCTTTTGTGCAGGCCTCTTGCCACGTCCAGCAGCAAGGGATGTGTGATCTGGGCTCCAGGGCCCCGGTGGGGGGTGGAATTCAAGACCATATATGGCATGGCGTGCTCGTTCTCATGATGCGCATGCTACCCTTTATTGTAGTCATCAACTTCGCCTTCCTCTGCATCATACTGTTCAGGATCATCGTCCACCTGACCATCCCCCTCATTCTACGTCAACTTCAAATCATAACCACTATTCATCCCTCGCTGTCCTCTTCCTCCTTCTCCAGCACATCCTATATCATCATTACAAACACTTTCATCATGCTCCTCCTCCACACCCTCCTGCACGTCCTCCTCCCACTAGTCATCATCACCATCATCGTCATAACCACCGTTACCATGATCCTCCCGCACATACTCTGTACACTTAATCATCGTAGGCATGCGTCTTTTGTCTTCTTCTGCCCCATCATCATCAGAACCATCAGCATCACCATCCAAATAATCTTCTTCCAGATGCGCATGATCACCATTGCCATCCTTCTTCTCCTCCTCCAGCAGCCGTTCTATCCTGCTCATTGCCAGGGTTCGCCCTCATCCTTCCTCTCCCCATCAGCATCAGTGTCATCGCCTCCATCATCACCACTCTCATCCCAATCCTCCTCAGCCTGTCCTCTCCTCCTCCTCATCCCCGTCATCCCATTCGCCCCCGTCGTTTCGCATTAGCTTCATAATCATACGTAACAATATCACCGCCTGCGTCGCACTGGCCCATATCCGCCTGCATCGCCCCCCCCCCCCCGTCCTGTCCATAGTCATCGTAAGCACCATCACCATCAACCTCACAATCCTAATACCATTCCCCCTCATTCCTCTCGCCTACACCATCATCATAACCAGAACCGCGACCAACACAATCATAATCCGCGTGCCCTTCTTCACCTTGACACTTCCCATCTTCGCCATACGCATCTAATCCTCCTCCGCATGCTCTCCTATTCCTGCTTCCCCTCCTCGTCAAACTACAATCATCTGGTCAGAATGCCGCTTCTCACCGTTGCCCGAACACTCAGTGACAGCTTCAGAAATATGATATTGATGTTCATGCGACGTGGGAAATACCAAGGTCTGGATAGAAGGAACGAAGGATGAAATTGGTCAGGAAGCGCAAGGGCAGACCATCAACGAGACGCAACTTCAGGCATACATGTCCGAATCTGGTCTTCCCCCTCGGGGGGGAGGGGCAAGTCCTGAACATCGGAGCAAACAGGCACCTAAGCAATACACACTGCAAGTGCTCTCTACACTAGGACACACAAGGACCCCTCACGATGGGAAACGATACTATAACGCTACACTGAAAAACGAGGTCCCCCGGTCCGTATGTACAAATCACTGGGGGGTCAACCCGACAAGATACCTCCATACACCCATACATTAGAACACCAAAACGCCATAACAGTTGTGAACCATCGCCTCGGGGCCACGATACTTGTGAGGACAGAACTCGGCGGACAAAAAAAGACTACTCACAACAATGGAGGGTATACGCAAACATTCACCATACGCTCGAGGTGTAGATCTTTCCTTTCTCTCCTGGCCATCATTAGGTACACATTGAATCGATCGGGGATCCACGCACTTCAGGCCAATACAAGCATAAAGGTGCATACACCAGTTAAAAGCAGAAAAATAATTACACAAAAAAGTACGACCACATCGGGGGGGGGGCACGGTCTCCGTGAACGCGTGCAAACAGCATTGCTCAAAGAAGGTAATGGGAAACTAATTAATGTGTGATGTGGTGTATGGTTTTCGGGGTTTGGTCCGCTTGGGCGCCTCTGGGCGGAATGGGCTCGGAGGAAGCCCCCCCGAACCCCGAGCACGTCGAACCCCCAGCGTCGTTCAATGCCCTGGCTCGGGCTTCTAACTTGATTGCATGAACGTTCCGTGTTTATGGTTATCAAAAGTATCGCAACTCCAACACGTTTACGTATCATGTTTAGTTGTATTGTCGACTTATGGAATTCAAATGTGTAAGGTCACCGTGTGGCCTTGCGGTGCATGGATCAAAGTTCGGGCCACAGAATATCCGAAACCCGAAAGCCTGTATATCTCCCGTATCCCCAAAGACTGGGACACACATATGGATACCTGTTGCGTGTGCGGGTTATTGCTTGATATCCTCGCAGGAATCGTGGAATCAAGACGTGTTCTGGCATTATCTTCGTGAATTAAGGGTGCAATGTGCATGGGCATGGGCAATGAGGGAACCCGACACCATGCAAACGTTGAAAGTTCATACGACTTGAATGTTACTCATATGCGGTTGTGCTTCCCATGGTTCCCAATGTAACGAATTTCAGCGTGTGTATGCCTTCATGGCGTATAGCTGTTTTACCGTGTGGTTCAGCCTGGCATCTAACAGCTCGGAAGAATTCTCGCTTCCATCGTGAACGATGGAATTGGCTACTATGGGAGAAAAACGTTCGTACTCCTTAGTGTACGGGCGGCGTATGACTTCACTGTGTCAGGAGAAGGCTTCCAGAAGGCGAGGGTCGGAATCATACAGACATGCATAAACACATTCCTCGATGATGTCCTGATCCTCGCCCTCCTGTTCCGCCTCACCCTCCCGCGTTCCATGATATCACGGTGTTGTTTTCTTCCACACCTTATCACCCCCGCCGTTCGCCAGATGCGAGAGTAGAAAGGGTGTGGCGCCAGTCCGCCCCACCTATCGGTGGGGTTGCGGGGGTGATGGGGTTCGGCTTACATGGCGCCCCACACACACACACCTCCCCGTTAAGGGTGTGGCTATTCACAGGGGGGCCATGGGAGGAAAGGGGGGCTCGTCCATGCTGCCGCTTATCCTGCGCCATCTCCCCCTCTTCGGCCTCATCCTCAACGTCATCAAGACGTCCGCCTGCTGTACAGAATCCGGGCGATCCTCGTTGCTGGCCTCACCATGCACCTCAATCATCATCATCATCATCATCATCATCATCATCATCATCATCATCATCATCATCATCATCATCATCATCATCATCATCATCGTCATCATCGTCATCATCATCATCATCATCAGCATCATCATCAGCATCATCATCAGCAGCAGCACCAGCATCAGCATCAGCGTCATCATCCTCATCCGCATCCTCATCCTCATCCTCCTCATCATCATCGTCATCATCATCATGACCATCGTCACCATCATACTCAGCATTAACATCATCATCGTCATCATGGTCATCAGCATCATCATCGTCATCATCGTCATCGTCATCATCATCACCATCGTCCGATATGATATTACTATTATTGTTGGCATCATCATCAGCAGCAGCAGCATCATCTCTTGGTGCTTCAGATTCTCCTAATTGGTTCTTCAGCCCCAGTGGCATAGGGGCCCTCAGCCTTAGCTGCCCCAGGTCAGAATGATCCGTTTCCTTCAGCCTCTTCATGATGCACACCTTCATCCTTGCCTTCCCCTCCCAATATGCCTTACTTGTTTGGCCAGCTTCTGCATGTTCATCCTTGCCCTCGCCTGCCCTCTCCCATGCTCTGCAGCCTCATCATCACACCCGTGCTCAGGCTCCCTCCCCTGTTCCTTCCAATCTTTCTACCCAGCCTCGTCCTGCATCTTCATCTTTCAACCTCGCCTGCTCATTCTCCTCTGCTCGTCAACTTCACCCTCATCTTCATCTTCATGATCGCCTGCTCCTCCTCATCCTTTTCTTGCTCCTCCATCTCCTCCCCCTCTTGATCCTTCAACGTCCCCTCTCTATCATCATTCCCCTGTTTCGAAGATGGCCGATTTCATGAGTCCTATAGGAATTGTACTCATCTTACACTCTTTTCCATCCTGCCGGGTATTTGCGCTCCGCTTACATCTCCCCTTACGTCAGCACCATCGTCATCTCAGGGGCGAACTCGGCGGGGCCATCATCTCTTCTCATGAGTTCGCCTTTCTAATGCTATGGGTGATATTCTGCCTGATCAGCATCACCTGTATCGCTATACTCACCAGCATAATGATAGCAACCACCATCTTCATGATTTTCCTACGTGGATCTCCTCATTCGTTCATTCTCGCTCTCTTTCTCTCACACACGCACCCCATCGCCTCCCAAGCGTAGACATCATCGCTACCAACTCCCCAACGCCGCCTCCGTCATCATCCGCATAACTGTTGGCTCCTGTCGACCTGTCGTAGGTTGACGGGGAGGAGCATGAGGCACGCAGCATCAGGCGCTCCCAGTGCCTCCGAGACAATGCCTTGAGCTTCACGTGGCAACGCATGCTCCAGGCCAGACGACGAGGACGACGAGGACGACGACTGCGAGACTATGACCATGTCGACGACGATGACGACGACCTCGATGGCGACGAGGACAGCGACGAGGACGAGAACGCGACTACGACGACGACCTGAGCACCCCTCCTGGAAGCGCCAGCCGCCCCCGCGGGTTCCCGGCCGGCCTCCTCCGCCCACACCGTTCTATCCCATCTGTGCGGGGGGGTGGGCGGGGGGCGGCCCAGGAACCCTGAGAGCCGCCCCACCTCAGGGGGGCAACAGGGGATATGTCGACCCCTATCCCAGGCTTCGTGGGGTTTCCGAATGGACCAGAAATTTGGGGCCTAACCCTGGGATATACGATGGGGGGGGTGTCCATTCTCGATAGGGGTGCGTCCGAATAGCCCCCTTGGGGTGTATCCCAGGGTTTTCCCATTCTTCTGAGCGGCCAGACTTTTCGGGCGAAACTCGGGGATTGGGGGAGAAACATCGCCCGCGAGGGGGGACTTGGAGCAGGGCGAGTTGAGACAACGGCAGCTCAAAGCCGGTCCCGTGACCCCTCTCAGGGTCCGTACACGCGCCAGTTTCCTGAGCCGCGCCCGGCCGTGGCGACAGGGGCCCCCCCCCCGCAGGCCAACTGCCGCTGTCTCGATCCACCCCGCCGAGGAGGGACGTGCGAGCCCTGAGATCTGCTCCCGTCGGGGAGGGGGCCGTGGACCCCCCCGGCCCTGGAACACGTGCGTACGGCAGGTTCGTGCCGTGACGACCTCGGCGTTGGTTTCTGCCACCGCGCGGATCGTTCAACCTTCAACGATCGGCGGTCTCTCGATCGCTCGATCGTTCCATGTAGGCCGATTCTGGGCCACTGGCGGCGTTCAACCTTGAACGCCCGCGGCGGCGTCGCCGCCGGTCGACACGACGCGAACCTACCGTACGGCAGGTTCGTGGCGTGACGACCCAGGCAGCGGTTTCTGAAACCACGTGGATGATTTGACCATTTACGACCGTTACAGATTGGCCGATTCTGGGCAGCTGGCGGCGGCGGGGTCGCTGCTGGTAGAGCGTCGGGACGACACGAACCTGGCGTAGATGAGGCCCTGCAGGAGGCGTGGGCGCGGGCGCCTTCAGCAGTGGGCGAACTCGAATCTCCAGCGCTCGCCGCTTCGCCCCACGTGCCACGCGCGGTCTAGCTCGTTGCCCCTGGCGTCGAGGCGGACCACATTCTGGGGCAGGCCCAGCACGCTGGCCGCCAAGCCCAGGACACCAGGCGCCAGCACTGCGTCGAGCATGTAGCGCTCGAAGGCGGCCCAGCGCTCGGCGCGAGCCTCCTGCCACGCCCGCAGCAGAGACGGCAGCTCCGGACCGCGGAGGTCGGAGGCGTGCACGGGCAGTGCCTGCGCGAAGGGCAGCGAGGCGGCGAGGACATGGAGGTACCCGCCTTCCAGCCACATCTCGAACTCGACTGCCTTGGCCGTGGCGAACCGGGGGTCCCTGGCGCGCTCCTTTTACGGAGGAGGGGGGGCTCCTGAGGGAAGCGGGCCTGGACCCCGCAGCTTTCCCTGGGGCTGGCCCTTCGTCCGACGTCGCTTGGCGACGGCGGCCTCAGGGCCCGAGGAGGGGCCCAGGGAGGCCGCACGCACGGAGAGACACCTCGGGACCCTGGCGTCCCTCGGGACGGCCCCTTCTCTCTTCCTGCCGGTCCTTTGCGGCCGCAGGCGCGAACAGCCGGCACTCGCCAGGCCCCGAGAGCGCGGGCGGCGCGGGCGCCCGCGGCCAACCCGCCGCGGCGGTGCTGGCCGCCAGCGCCGCGGCACTCCGACGCGCGCCCTGCGCGGGCTCCACTGGCCGCCGCGGAGGCTGCCGCGGCCAGGCCGCGGTGGCGCCCCTGCCGCCGCCGGGGCCGCGCGGCGCGCCTCTGGCCGGCGGGGTGTCCTCCGCCCGCCCGCGTGGGAGCCGCGGGCGTGCCGCGGCGAGCAGGCGCGGTGCCGCGGCGGCGGCCGGGGCCGCGCCGGCGCAGGCGCCGCGCGGCGGGTGCAGCAGCGGCGCCACGAGGCCGTAGGTGGCGGCGAGCCTGGAGGCCGAAGAGCGCGCCGCCGCGCACACCGCGGGGGCGGCTCGGGACATCCCGAGGGGCAGAGCCGCCGCTCGACCGATGCCCAGGAAGCTGGCAGCGCACGAATATGGCCGGGCCCCCACGCGTGTGGAGCAGCCTGAGGCCACGCGCTGGATGCACACGCGTGGAAGCCTGGCGCGGAAGGGCCGAGCGCCGGGGACATCTGGCCACATGTGTCTATCGAGCTCTCGCCCAGGCTTGCCGCGTCGTGCGCATCCAGCTTCCGGGTGGCTGCGGGAGGCCAGGGCCCGCCGCTCGGATCGATGTCTAGATAGCCTGAGCCCGAACAGCTGCGGGTGCTTATAACAGAAGGCGATGCTGATCGGTTCCGATCCAAACCATGCGTCGTGAGGCCGAGGGTTATCGGCGCCCCAGTCACACCGAGGGCGACGGAGAGGGCGGGAAGGTGCAGGATGCTGTAAGACAATGCTCTTCCGTAGCGGGTGGAAGGTCCCGGGTAGCTGGCAGGGAACCACTTCTTTGGACCTAACGGCCAGCAGCGAGCCTCGGAATGCACTTGCCCGGGGCGCGACGCACCCAACAAGGGGATACAGATCCCGACGTACCTGGCGGGAGGGGATGGTCGCGGTATACCCGACTAAGGGGTACAGCTCGCGCCTCGCCCAGCTGGGTGGTACGGGGAGTGCCATGTCCGACTTCTGGGTACAGATTGTGACGTACCCGACGGGGGTGCATAGTGTGCCTGGTCAGCCGAGGCGTAGACGGGGCCACTAAGGCGTGGGAAACACAGCAACGAGACAAATGTCCTGATGGCAAGGGGCAACGAGGCCCAGAGGGGCAAGCGATTAAAGTACGAGAGCAAAAAGTTGACGTCAGGAGAAGAAGTGTGCCGCGTGCTCAGGGAGCGAAGCGCCTCACGAGGTCCGCAAGCCACCCCCAGAGCCAGCTTGGCCAGGCACCCAAACATGGGTATTGGGCTGACCCTGTAGCTTAGGAGACCCTGTGGCCTGTCCCCCCCGCCACGCTATCTCCGACTCCTTCTAGCCGTGGCCTTTGCTCACTTGGACGGGCACGCGGCGGTGAACGGGGGACAGGTCATGTGGTGGCGGGGCGTTTGAGCCAGATTCCCCAACTGCATAGTGCGCCAACACTGCTGGGCGCTGCCTCCAAGCTGGGGAGCCTTGGGCCACCTCCACCAGGCAGCAGAGACTTGGCAGCATCTGTGGCTTAGGTGGCCTCTTGGGCCTGTCCCCCGACCCCCCTCCCGCGCACTCTCCGCGTCCCTCTTGACGTGGCCGCGGTACGCTCGCAGGGGCGGGCTTCGGAGAGGTGGGGGGAAGGGCCACTGAGTACGGCGTCAACTTAGCTGGGCGCTGCCCCCAAAGGTAAGCCCTGGGCCTGCTCCGGCAGGCGCCGGTGCTCCAAGGGTGAGCTGCAGAGGAGAATGGGGCCAAAGTCGTGGCTCAGGTGACCCCTCGGGCTCTCCCTGAGGCGCCCCCTGGCAGAGGCCGCAGCTCGCGCGGCAGGGCGCGTGGCGGAGATGGCGGGGAAGCGGTCGTCAGTCGGGAGGGGTCGTTTGGGCCCGTGGCTTCGCGCGCCTGTTCCTTCAGCTCGGGCCTGGGCCTGCTCCGACCCAGCCTCGGGCTCGGGGGGTCACCTGAAAAAGGAGACTTGTGCCAAATGTGGTGCTCAGGTGACCCCTGCGGCCAGTCCCAACGCGCCCCCTGACCCCTCACGACGAGGCCTCGCCTGACGCGCTCGGACTCGCGGCTAAGAGGGGGGACGGGGGAGAGGGGGCGCCATGGGCGAGCGGGGATGCGCCAAGCGAGGACGGGAGCAAGATGATGAAGAGACCGAGACATGCGGCGGTGGAGGGTGGCAGGATGGGAGGATGAACGCCTTGCGCCGAGGCCCCCATGGCTTCTCTATCTAGCACCCAGTGGGTGCAGAGGTTGTTGGACCACCTCGGCCGAGTGGCGAGAGAGTCCCTCTTCCCGCAATGTGTGGGGGGCGGCTGGGGGCCTGCACCACTCGACCGTGCGAAAAACTCAAGCTGGGGAAACCAGCTCTAAGACAACAGCTGGTCACACTGGCCGCGTGATTAGTTAGACACACACGTCCAGGGCGTCAAGACGTGAAGCGAGTAAACTATTCGGTCATGCAGAAATCACCGCGCATGTGGACGGACCTGAATTATCCTGGCGACGGAACCAACCATATGCAGGCAAGCCTACCGCAAGGCGGGTGGGAGGAAGGAAGGGAAAGCCCATATGGGGCAAAACAACATGTGCGAGGTGTGCCGAAGTGAGAAGGGGCCGCCTTGCGGGCGCTGGCACTGGTGCCTTTGGTGCAGCTGCCTGGGGCTCATGGTGCCACGGAACGTGTGAGGGGTGTGCCGACATGAAGCTCCGACGCCATGCGGACCCTGGAATTTGTGCCTTAGTTGGGGCTCCCTATGGGGCCACGAAGCGTGTGAGGAATGTGTCGGAAAGAAGCACAGCCGCCATGCGGACCCTTGTGTTAGGGCATTCGCTGGAGCTCCCTATGGGGCCAAGAATCGTGTAAGAGGTGTGCCGGAATAAAGCGCCCACGCCATGCGGACCCTGGAATTTGGGCCTTGGCTGGAGCTCCCATAGGGCCACGGCACGTGCGAGGGGCGCGCTGACATGAGACACCGCCGACAGGCGGACCCTGGCATTTTGACCTTAGCTGGGGCTCCCTACAGGGCCGCGAAACGTGTTCGGGGTGCGCCGACAATGGCACCGCCGCCATGTCGACCCTGGCATGTGCAAGAGGTGTGTCCAAATGAAGCACCGCCGTCAGGCGTACTCTGGCACTTGGGCATTAGCTGGGGCTCCCATGGGGTCACGGAACGTGTGAGAGGTGTGTCCACATGAAGCACCGCCGCCATGCGGACCCTGGCTTTGGGGCTTAGCTGGAGTTCCCTTTGGGCGCAGCGTTTGAGGGGTGTGCCAACAGGCACAGCCGCCACGCGGACCCCGGCATTTTGACCTTCGCTCGAGCTCCCTATCGGGCCAAGAAGCGTGTGAGGGGTGTGCCGACATGAAGCGTCGCCGCCATGCGGACCCCTGCCTTTGAGCCTTAGCTGGAGCTCCCTATGGTGCCACGGACCGTAGGAGGCTTGTGCCCAAATGAGGCACCGCCGCCATGCGGACCCTGGCATGGGCCTTAGCTGGGGCTCCCTATGGTGGAACCACGGAACATATGAGAGCTGTGACCAAATGAGGCACCACTGGCCATACGGACTCCAGCATTCAGGCCTTAGCTGGAGCTCCCTATGGGGCCACGAAGCGTGTGAAAGGTGTGCCCACATGAGGCAAGGGAGGGCTCAGGCAGGAGCGGGATGGTGATGGTGATGGTGGTGGTGATGTTGTTGGTGCTGATGCTGATGCTGATGCTGATACTGATGCTGATGCTGATGCTGATGATGATGCTGATGCTGCTGCTGATGATGATGATGCTGATGATGATGATGGTGATGATGATAATGATGCTGATGTTCATGGCGATGATGCTGATGAGGATGACGATGATGATGGTGATGATGACTACAATGACGATGCGGACGTGTTGATGGCAGAGACAGGGATGGGAGGTGGGGAGGGGGAGGAGGAGGAGGGAGGGACGCGGGGCGCTGCTGATTCAAAACGAGAAACCAACCCAACACAGGATGCCGGGCACAAGCAGAGCACTCCACGGATGCCCTGACCTCCCTGGACACGACCAGGGCTGGACACCAGCATGCACCCAAAGCCGTCCTCGACTCGACTGGGACCCGACACCCCGCGCGAAGCGCCGGACCTCAGCAGACCACGGAAGGCACCGTGCACGGGGATGCCGGCCGCAGGCCCCGTGCGCTGCCTCAGCCGGCCGCCGGCCCGCATAGGCTGCGGACCTCCCGAGCTCCCCCGGCCGCTGGGCCAGGGCCACCCCGAGAGGCGCGTGGGGCGCCGCCCCTGGCAGCGGCTCCAGGGAAAGGGGGGGGGGGGGCCAGCGCCGATCCGAGGGGTCCGCGCGGGCCTCCGAAGAAAGGAGGCCGATCCCTGTCTCTGCTGCCCCTCCTACAGGAGCCAGCGGAGCAGCAGCAGCAGCAGCAGCAGCAGCAGCAGCAGCAGCAGCAGCAGCAGCAGCAGCAGCAGCAGCAGGAGGAGCCGCTCCTGGAGGACGACGAGCCGACGGTGGCCGAACTTGTGGCTTCGGCGACCCCCTGGGCCGGGGATCTTCGCAGGATCCTGCAGGATCTGGCGCCTTGGCTGACCCCCGTCTGCACTGACCCCCGTCTCGAGGCTCCCGGAAGGGGCCCCGCGCGGGCCCCCGGCATGCTGCATCACTCGCGCGACGGGCCCTGGGCCGCAGGGCGGGCCACCTAAGGACGTGCAGGCGGGGCCAAAAATCCCCGAGGGCACGAGAAGGCGGAAGAGGACGGCGAGACGCGGCGGCGAGCGAGGCGGGGAAATGAGAAGGGGCGGGCCTTCTCAGAAGGCTCGGAAGTCCCCGGGCCTTCTGAGAAATTGTCGAAGCCTTCCCCGAGGACGCAAAAAGCCTCTCAGTGGGCGCGAGGGCTTCTGGGAAGCCCCGCTTCCATCTGAGAAGGCCTTCTCCTTCTCACCTCCCCCCCATGGATCGCCCCCGAAACACAGACGAGGAACAGGAGCGTCCAGAAAAGAGAGGGCCCAAAGGTCCACCCACCCGCCGCGTGTCGCCGGGCGGCGGCAGAACCGGCGGTGATCGGCGCAGGGCAGGGGTGCGGGGTCGCCTCGGCCCGAACCAGCTGCAGCACCATCCTGCGGGGCAGCGCACAACGGCAGGGGGGTAGGAGGAGGAGGAGGAGGACGAGGAGGAGGAGAAGGAGGAGGAGGAGGAGGACGAGGAGAAGGAGGAGGAGGAGGAGGAGGAGGACGAGGAGAAGGAGGAGGGGGGGGAGGAGGAGAAGGAGGAGGAGGAGGAGGAGAAGGGGAGGAGGAGGAGGAAGAGGAGGGGACCAGAGTAAACCAAATACTCAACAACGATGTTGGGATCAACCATCCCTCCAAGCACCCTCTTCATAGACCCCTACAAGGGTCCATTTTCACTGAGGGAACTGCCTTTTGGAAACATCCGTTTGAAGAACCTGAAGCATGCCAAAACGCAATCTTCGGGACTCCAGCGCCACGGATCAGCTTGACTGTTGCGTCTTGACGACCATGAATCGCGCCAGAACGCCGTACCTGGGACTTAAACACCGCGAACCAACGCAACTGTTGCACCCTCACAATGAATCATGTCATTTCCAAAACACCATGTCTGTTACGCTGACCATGGGGATGCGTGAAACTCTTGCTTTTGTTTGAATCAGTGCGCGCGGCGCTAAGGCGAGAGCCACCTTTTGAGAACGAGCCGCCCTCAATTCGTGAAGCTCTTATGTTTAAAACGAATGTGCGCGGCGCTAAAGCGAGAGCCACACCGGGGCGCGCGTTAAAAACGACCTCGCAGAATTGAGCCGCCAAGCCAGATCTCCGCCTCTTTCCCTCTGACCACTCACGAGGCTTTGTTGACACCGCAGACAATCTTGGCCGTGGCTGGATACCACAATTTCAGACCGCGCTGCCCCAAATTGCGCCGTTCGGGAGGCGATCGAAGCGGAAATGCCACGGCGCGCCCATGCGGAAGTCGACGAATACGTCGCCGCTCCAGGGCGAACGCGCAGCCCGCGCCTCCCCCCCTTCCCCCCAACGATGCAAAGCTGAGTAACGAAGCGACGCGACGACGTCACCGATGAGGTCCATTGCCGTCGTCTCTCGTCGGGCTCCTCTGCTTTGCGTCAGGGGGGTGAGGGTGGGGGGGCCAGCGGCGCGGCGCGTGTCTTGGCGACTTCAAAGATGCGGTCAAAACCATAGGATCGGCCGTGCGGGCCTCTCGGGGGAGCATTCGGGTGTCGCGCTCCTGTCCATGGTCTCCACATATCACCGCGCGCGGATGGTCGGTACAGAAAAAAAACGAATGTGCGCGGCGCTGAAGCAAAAACAACACTCTGAAAAGGAACCGCCCTCAATCCATGGAACCCATGCAACTATTTACAACAAATGCGCGCGGCGCATGGCGATAACCACACTTTGAAACACGAACCGCCCTCAATCCGTGAAGCGCTTGGGAGGAGCAGCAAAGAAGAAAACGCTCCCGGGGAGAAAGTGTTGCAAAGGCCTTGATGGTTGATTCCTGTCTTCGTCGTCTTCTTCGTCGTCGTTGATTCCTTCTGCCTGCCCCATCCTCGTCATAGTCCTCCTCCTCCTCCTCCTCCTCCTCCTCCCACCTCCTCTTGCGCGTCCCCCCCCTCCTCCTCCTCCTCCTCCTCCTCCTCCTCCTCCTCCTCCTCCTCCTCCTCCTCCTCCTCATCATCATCATCATCATCATCATCATCGTCGTCAATACCTTCATCGTCCTCCTCCCTCCCTGCTCCTACCCCTACAGTTCTTTCCTCGTCCTCCTCACCTGTTCCAAAGGTAGCGGCTGTCCCCTGCTATGTTGCGGCATGCGTCTACACTTCCCTGATCAAGGCAGCTCGTCTGGGCATCGTCTCCACATGGGCTGATGAAGATACCCGAAGCATCAAGACTTGAAAAACAAATGCACGCCCCCGTCCCCCTGGGACCCCGATATCCCGAATGCGGTGGCGGATGAGCGCTACGGCGCAGCTGGATTTTGGCAACGGCCGCAACGTCGACGACGGGCAGGCTGGGCACATATAGGCGCGCGCACCAATTGGCACGACGAGACGGACGTGGCAATGGTGCGAAGCAAGATGGCGACATGAAATCCCAGGGCCGAGCGCGACGACGGAGTGCCTGGAGCTCCCAGCGCAGAGGCAGAACTCACCGAGAGGATCCGACGATCACAATGAATATGCATTCAACTATGGAGACGGATGTGCGTCATCATGGCCATCCCTGGGATTTGGGCACTGTTTAGCCAAGGCCAGGCCAGTGTTCGGCCACTGTTTGGGCCTCGTTCGGGGGCTCTCATGCGCGAGCCTGGTGCGGTGCGCTAAGTGCTTGCTAGAATCGGGTTGGCGGCTTTGCTTGTCTCTATATATACATATATCTATATATGTATGTATATGTACACATAAAGATGTACATAGACATTTATACATACACATATATCTATACAAATTGGCATCACTACTGAGGCTGCCCAGCTGGCACGTGATCGTCTCCTATCAAGGAGCAGCGCGTCAGATCTCTGGGATGGTCCAACCCCTGGTTAGTAAGGCCATCCTTCTTGGCAGCTGCCCTCAACTGTCTCGTGACCTCTGACGTTGGTTCGAAGTGCAGCGCTCTAAATGCATGTAATGCGGGTGGGAAAAAAGACCTTCCGTTGGCGATACAACTGCCCTGCACGAGCACCAGAGCCCTTTGAGCAAGCGCTTGCACGATGCGATGGTCGTTAAAGACATCCCTCACGCTGGTAGACCAGATAACCGAAATAACTATATCGCTGGACAGTGTGGGAATCAACCTCTTGATATGGGAGCCACGTACTCGAACAATGGTCGGCTGTCCACGTTGAGGATAGTCATGCCTTGCAACACATGTACCACCGTTGTACGTGAATTGGTTGTGTCATCGGTCACCTTCGGAAGCGCTTCGATCAATTTGAGCGCGAGAGCTTGAATCGAAGTCTTTTCTACCGTAGCTACGATCGCTGACCCCCAAAACTACCTTCCCACGCTGAATTGTCAACATGATCTGATCGCTCCTTATGATCTCATCAGCAACTGACTGAGCATCATTTGTGGCTTTGTTGGCGGTGACGTTGTTGGCTTTGGTGATAGAGTCACAGAGTCGCCCTTTTGGGCTTGCCATTCTGGGTATGCTCTGTTCCACCTGCTGACCAGACCCGGCGCGACCTGCACAATCTCGAGCGCGGATTGACCCCGCTTCGTCATGTTGATGCTGAGTTTGTATGTGCGCGCCTGTCCAAACATACTGAGAACGTGGGTCCTGGATCTACACTGCTGTTGCACAGAGCCGCGTAGCGCGCAGTCTTTACAGAACCTGCCGAGGTGTATGGCTGCGCATGCATGGTCACCGGGCATGTCGATGGCCATGCTCGCCAGGCTGATACACATGTCCACGACTGCAGGGTCGACCATCATATACAACGAATATGCGTTGACAACGTCGGCAACAAGTTTATCTCTGTCTAGCAGTGATGTGCGTATGAGGTTGGGAAGATGTGGGGCCAGATTCCTAAAAATAGCATCGATTTGAAATATTGCGGTCAATCGAACTCAGGCCGTGGAGACGTTGGGCCAATTCTACGACCCTCTTCGACTTAACCAGATATGGCAACGCTTGGAGCACTGCAATAGTTTCATGTTCTACCAACAATACACGCTCGTTTTCGGAGATGGCCTCGGCAATTGGACTATGCAATTTGCCCAGGGGCCATACCACGTTGCCCAGATACTGCGCTTCATCTTTGAAAGCACCGTGCTTTTACGCAGGGCCCTTTACACTACCAGACGATCCCGCATTTCAACCAACAGCAAACTCCTGAATGCGTCAGCCTGCCCCCCAACCGAGCAAGAGCTCACGGCCAAATGTGACAATCGAGTCAAAATCCCCGCTCGGTGCAACATGTTGGCTTCGCCTGCTCCCACAATAAAACTTCCCAATGCGTTTTTGCAAACTGAATGGGCCGCATGAGTTGCCCTGGAGACGCGCTGCACCGGCTCAAATCTCGAAAGCGCTTCTGCTTCCCGCCGCGAAACAGCTGGAGTGCCCGTCCATTGAACGACCTGCTTGCTGAAACTAGGGACCGCCGCAAACGTCCCTGTGCAAAAACAGAAGCTGAACAGACCGTCGCTGTGAGGCTGCAAGCGGCAACGGCGACAGCTAAGAGAGCGGCCCCCCAGCCTCGCTGGCGACAACGAGCTGACACCTGTGCGGCAGGGCAGGTGGAAAGAGCCACGCCCGACCGCAGCGGCTTGAGCCCTAGTGGCAACGGAGCAGTGTTTCGACGGCCCCGAGGCCCGGTAAGGGCCCCCGACTCCGAAAATGGCCAAGAACCTCGCCTCGTGACTCTTGTTCACCAGCCCCAGCAGGTGTGGGCTAAGAGCGGCGGCGACGGTGGCGACGACGTCCTGCGCGCGGAGTGCACCATCTGGGACCTGTCGGTGGCGGCTGCGCCCAGGCCAGAGAGCTCGTTCCCCGGGGAGATGCGCAGCCGCAGCAGCGCCAGCTCGCGGAGCGGCCAGCAGCGGTGCACCTCGCGACACAGACACCCGGCAACTCGAACAAAAAAACCCAGTGACGAACCCAAATCGTTTTACACATATGGCGATTATGATCACCACCGCTCAATTCCAAAAGAAGATACGAAAATATCTGTAGTCCCCTTGAGCACTCCGCCGTGCATCCCAGGAGCCCACGAAACTCGCAACAATTGCGCACTCCGCAGCCCTCCGAAGAAGACATAGATCTCGCATGGATCCGCGTTGCCCTGCACTCCATGATACATCCCAGGACACACGAAAGTGGGGACGACAGATGCACAAGTTCGCAGCCCGCGAGGATGCCGCGAGGTCTCGAAGTGATCTCATCTGTCCTCACCTCCGCCGTGCCTCACAAAAGCCCACGAATGTGGCGAGCCCACGAAAATGGCGACAATTGCCTAGTTCGCAGCCACCCATGGATCCGGGAAACTTCGGCTGGGTGCGCGTACAACTCCACTCCGCTGGACTTCCGAGGAGCCTGCGAAAGTGGCAAGAGTTCACAAGCTCGCAGCCACGCAAGGAGCAGCGAGCTCTCGGCTGGGTGCGCGTACACCTTCACTCCGCTGGACCTCCCAGGAGCCACGAAAGTGGCGACAACTGCGCAGTTTGCAGCCACCCAGGGAGCAGCGAGGTCTCAAATGGGTCCGCGTACAGATCCACCCCAATGGAGCTCCCAGGGAGCAGCGAGGTCTCAAATGGGTGCGCGTGGCCCCCGACTCCGGGGGACCTCCCAGGAGCCCATAACAATGGCGACAATTGTGCAGTGCACATCAGCCCAAGAACCAGCGAAATCTTGAACGGGTCCGCCTGGCCCCCGACTCCGCTGGACCTCCCACAAGCCCATAAAAGTGGCGACACTTGCGCACTGCAGGGCAAGCCAAGAGGCAGCGACGTCTCAAAAGGGTCGACCTGGCCCCCGACTCCGCTGGACCTCCCAGGAGCCCACGAGAAGTGGTGACGGTGACGCAGTTCGCAGCCACCCAGGGAGCAGCGAGGTCTCAAATGGGTCCGTGTGGCCCCCGACTCCCACGGACCTCCCAGAAGCCTACGACCGTGGCAACAATCGCACAGTTCGCAGACACCCGGGGAGCAGCGAGGCCGCACACGGGCCCGCCGGCCCCCCGACTCCGCGGGACCTCCCAGGGAGCCCACGACAGTATTGACAAGTGCACAGTTCGCAGACACCCAAGGGAGCAGCGAGGTCCCACATGGGTCCGCCTGGCCCCCCGACTCCGCTGGACCTCCCAGGAGCCGACGAAGAGTGGTGACGGTGACGCAGATCGCAGCCACCCAGGGGAGCAGCGAGGTCTCCAATGGGTGCGCGCGGCCCCCGACGCCCCTGGGCCTCCCAGGAGACCTCGAAAGGGGCGACGGCTGCGCAGCTGCGCAGCCCCCGAGAGGACACCTACAAGATGCAGGAGAGCGCGCAAGATGCAGGCAGAGGTAGACGGAGCGGGGGGGGTGGAAGGGAGACGCGCGAGCAGCGCTCTATTCAGGAGACTCCAATGCAGGAGGGCTGGGAAAAATCCAAGCGGCCGACTTGCCGCCATGTCTGACCTCTGGAGGCTAGCTTCGAGCCTCTTGACCCGCGAAGGGCTGCTCGGGATGAGAAGCCCGCCCTGGGGAGGGTGGAGGAACAAACACAAATCAGCATAGACGTCCAGAAGTCCGCGCTGATTTCTTGGATCGGCGTTGGGCCACCCCTCCCTGGCGCAAAGGCAGATCGAAGGCGAATCGAAGTGCACATCGATGCTTGCGGGGCGACCAGAGCGCGCACCGACCAGGCCCTTCGTGTGCTGGCTCCTGCTTCTCATCCACCTCCGTCCACTATTCTGCCCTCCTGCCTGCTGCCCCCCCCCTTCCTCCCCTGTCACCTGCCCTTCCTTCCCCGTGCCCTCCCCCCAACTGTCCCCCCCGCTATCACCGCCTCTCCCTCTCCCTCCTCATTCCCGTCATTATCCCCTCCCTCTCCTCTCCATCGTCTTCTCCATCCTCCACCCTGCTCCCCATCTATCTTCCCCACCTCGATGCCTTTCTCGGATTCCCCAAACAATGCTTGTACTTAAGGGTTCTTGCTTCTCTTCTACGGAGCTGGCCTGATTGTCGGTCTGGCGGCTGGGCTGTCACTGTCGCCGCCCCGTCGCCGCGCCGTCGCCGCCCGTCGTCTGGGCCTCCTTGTCGATCTGGCGGCTATGTTGCCGCCGCAGCCGCACCATCGCCGCCTCGTCGCCGCCCGCAGTGTGGGCCTCATTGTCGGTCTGGCGGTTACGTTGTCGCCGTCGCCGCCCCGTCGCCGAGTAAATTGAACAACGCAGATGCCACCACATGTGCATCTGATTCTTCTAAAAAAAAAGACTTCGGATCAACCGCCCTCCGCCCCCAGGACTTATCGATACACCGTCGGGATGAGCAAACACATGTAATTCAACCCCATATTTCGTTATAGATATCCCGGCCAAGCCAGGCTGGACCCCCCACATCACCCTCGTCAAGTAATACCATGCGCGCGCACTCGCTTATCGAAAACCATCAGTTCGCAATCATGATGTGCAACAAATCGGACAGAGTGCACACGCGCGCGTCGTCGCGCGCATGCCAAAATCAATTGAAATCCTTAGGTTCCGTACGGATGTCAAGATCGAGCGCCCCGAACACATTCGAAAATGGACATGGTGCTCTCCAGAAAAGGTCAGCGCACGCGCGGTTGCGAGCTCTTGGAACAAATCTGACCTAACGGGCCTCGTGCGCGCATGTCGAAATCATTCGAACGTTCTTGAGCGCGTGCTGTGTGTGTTTGTGCTTGTGTGTGTCTGTGGGGGGCACCATCCCTGTCGAAAATTAGCCCGCGCTGGCCCGAAAGGGCGTGTTTATCAGTCCTTGTTGTGCAAGTCAGATGGTGCTACCTACGTGGTGCATTTTACATTGTGCAATGCACGTTGAGCTGTATATATGTACATATATACAGATACATGTGTGTGGCCATCTACGTTGTAACATTTTTGTAGGGCACTCTGCATGGTGCGATCCATGTGGTGCAGCATATGTGGTGCAACATGTTGTGCACAATATATATTTCAAACTCGATGGTGCAGCCGATGTGTTGCGAAATTTATGTGGCGCAGTCTATGTGGTGCAACCGACGTGGTGAAACCGACGTGGCGCAGTCTATGTGGTACAACTAATCACTCGCTCAACTTGAAGCTGTCCTCACCGACGACGACGACTCCGACGACGACGACAACGACGACGACGACAACACCGACGACGACGACGACGCTGACGACGACGACGACGACGATGACAACGCCGACGACGACGACGCCGCCGACGACGACGCCGACGACGACGACAACGACTCCGACGACGATGACGACACCGACGCTGACGACGACGACGATGACAACGCCGACGACGACGACGCCGCCGACGCCGACGACGCCGGCGACGACCACGACGACGACGAAGACGACGACAACACCGATGACGACGCCGACGACGACGACGACGACGGCGACGACGACGAAGACGACGACGACGACCACGACGACGACGACGACCTCGCCAACGAAGACGACGACGACGACGAGGGAGGAGGGAGGACGACGACGGCGACGACGACAACGACGAGGGAGGAGGGAAGACGACGGCGACGACGACGACGACGACGAAATAGGAGGGACAACGACGAAACGCCGACGAAGACGACGAGAGAAGAAGGACGACCACGGCGACAACGACGACGGAAACGACGACGACGCCGAGACGACGACAACGACGAGGAAAGACAGAGGACGACGACGACAGCGACGACGACGACGAGGGAGGAGGGAGGACGGCAGCGACGACGACTACGACGACGCAAGAGCGCGCGCGCACGTTTTTGTTGAAAATCCGTGTTGCGAAACTTTGTGTTTGTGTATTTTTTGGGACACACCCTTTTGAAATCCTTCCGAAACCGAAGGTTTTTGAAGGATTGCGGCATGCGCTCGCAACGACGCGCGCGTCCGCACTTCGTCCAGTTGTTTGCAGAGGATTCTCGCGACGGCACGTGAGCAAAGGGTTTCCAAAAAATTTCGACATGTGCGCGCGCGCAGCCCGTTTGGTAGTTTTTCTTGAAAATGATCGAAAACCTAAGTGCGCGTAAATTTTTTCCATAAATCAGTGTTGCGAAACCATGTGCTGTTGTGTGTATTTCGGAAACTCGATTTTGGAACCCTTCCGAAACCGAAGGTTCTTGAAGGATTCCGGCATGCGCGCGCGACGACGCGCGCGTGTGCACTTCGTCCCAAAACTTATGACTTCTGATAAACGAGAGGGCGCGCATAGTATTTCTTGCAGGGGATGGCGGGGGGAGTAATACCGGTTAGGCTGGGATAGTACAAACTCAGATTTAAGATGGACGAATGTAAAATAACTACGAATACCACATGGGGGATCGTTAACTCCGGGGGGGGATTTATGGTTTCTTTTGAACGGCAATTATACGTTGTGCTGGCTATGCTGTACAATCGGCGAGGCGTAAACTATGTGGTGCACTATCTGGTGTGCAGTCTGGCTGTGCAATCTCAATGGAGAGATGTATTGCGGTGCGAATATGTTTGGTTCGCAATGCACTGTCCATCCACCGCCCGCGCAAGCATCCGCAAACATCCCATCCACCCACCCAGAATTTGATTTGCAAAAAACCATGTGGCGGCGAATGCCATGGCTGCTGGGCGCTGGCAAATGCATCGTTGCGGACACGCTAGCGTGCGCAGGCTCGCGCGCAGAACGGCCAGCGAATCTTGCGCGACCGACGCGGCCACGGTGGCGCTGACTGCAGGGCGCTTCCCAGCGCGTCTCGCATGCTGCGCTGACGCGCGGGTCACTGCGAGTCGGTGACTCGGGCGGGCGCAGTAGCATGGCGACGTCGACAACAGCAGCCACGATGACGATTGCACCGATGCTGGTGACGACGATGACGATGACGACGGTTAGGCGAATGACGGCGCCG